TCAGTTTTGCATCATAAAAAGGAATTGGATGGTTTGCGTATTATCAGAATATGAATCATTCCTCGTTCTTTTCAGCTAAAGATAACCCCATTCGTAATAAATTTGTCAAAATTGCGTTCCAGTCCTATCATTTGGATCCATCAATGATCGAATGGAATACGCCACCAGACACAGATAATTGGTCCAGACCAACGGGCTGATCAAGTAAAGTTCTCGAGATTTTCTTCACTCGTCTAATAACTCAGATATAGGTCAGCTTCCTGTAGAAACTCCTCTATGGAAGCACCCCTTAGGCAGATCCTTCAAGTATTGTTTTGTCTTATTCCATCAATCAATCCGATCCTTTCACTTGGTTTATTCTTGTTAATTTTATGAATTACTATTTCCATCTAAATTAGTATCCTGCTTAATTCCCATCTTAAAAATCTTCAAAATACTCTTCTATATATTAATTCCAAGTCTTCCATTTCATATCATTTCATTTAAGTATTTCATTTATCTTTTTCAACTAGACCAACCAGTGGCCGAGTGGATAAAATCACAGATTACTTACCGTTCGTAGGTTCATGCCGCACCACTCAGCTAGTTACGTGAGATTTTGCGTTTTCTTTACAGTTTTAAACAACTAAAGAGCCAGTTTCTCATAGAAAGTCTTTCGAAAAAGCGTTTCCATATACAAACAATACTTTATTGATTAGTTTCTTATTGAAACTGCCTTGAAATGAAAAGAAATATTTTAAATCCTTTATTTATCATCCTTCAAATTTACCTCTTTTCTCTATTTTTTCCATCTATTATAAATTTCTATAACTGTATGCTTGTTTAATTTTGAATTCCTTCATTAATTTTGTTAAAATTAATGAGTTAAAATGAGAATTAGATGCAGTCTATAACTGTGCACTGAGTGATTAGATAAGGACGGAAATCTTATTTCAGTAATCTTACAAGAACTAACGGTTCTGCTAGTGACTTTCATTGGATGTCGGAAAGGATTCATTGGATCAAACGGAAATATGTGTTTCATATATAAAAAAGTTGTTAAATAATGGAAGAACTTTTGGTAAGATATATTTTATTGTTTTTTTAATATGTTTCTTTAATATTCCTAATCTTTTACCTATGTTGAAAGGTCTTAAAAAATGGTTAGGTATAAATTTTGCTTCTGATAGGATTCCTCTATTCTTCCTATACAGTATTTAAGTTTTATTTTGCTTGAACTCCAATTAAATCAATGTTTAGATGTAACATCTTATAATGTGATACTAGATTAGTGATTGATGTCACACATCTCTATCAGTTATAATGTTATTTACAATGCTTTACAATTAATTTATAATAATTTTAATTTAGTTATGGAGTAGGATGACATAGGCACAGCTTATGTAATTTCTATTATGAATATTGGATTCGCTAAATAAATTTAATTCTATAATTTTTTGGATTTGTCAGGTCATGATTTTGCCAATTTTTCTACATTTGAGCAAGTTTTGCCTTTTCAGTATACTCTTTTATTACATTTTAATAGTATTTATAACCATTTCACATGTTTATTTTATTTTATTTTAGTTTCACTTCTTACCTACGTTTTTAAAATAGTTATTCCAGCGGTCACCATTAGATATAATTTCAGGTAATTTTTATATTTTTGCAGGTTTTAGGCGTATGTAAGAAACAAATAACTTTTTACATCTTTTTATATCAAGAAAAGTGTTCCTGTGTGATAAGTTCTCTATAGCAATTTTGTGTTTAATTCTAAAGAATATAAAAAAGAACAAGAAGCAATCAAGTACTAAGATTAATATTTATTTGTTTTATTGATTTTATTCTTATTTTCATGCTTTTAGAGAGGGATAGAATTTCACATCTGTGATTAATTCGGGCTTCGTCTCATTTCTCTCTTTTTCCTTCGTCATCTTTCTTTTCTTTGTTAATTTTGTTTACTTATTTATACGTTATAAAATTATAATTTCTTAGTTTATAAAATAAAGAATAAAAATATATCAGATAATATGGCATTATATAGAGTCGTTTCTGTTTCCCCGCTCTATATTTAATTTTAAATTTATTACAGAATAAATTATTAAGTTGCTAACTAATATTTTGATTATACTATAATTTTCTTGTTAACACGATAGTTTTCAGAGAGCTTATCAGTTCTATAATTAATATTATAGAACATCTGTTAAATGACCAGAAAATTTATTACCGGATTTCTAAATTCTATCTATTTACTTCTTTTACATCAATTTTTACAAGTTTACAATGAATTCTCCGTGAAACAATGATCATTTTATGACGAATAGAATTCCATACAGACCATTATTTAAAAGTCTCCATACAATATATAGAAGGGATATAATTAATATGCAATATTACACGTGTCAACACGCTTTTGTTATAAATAGGAAGAAAGCATTTACATATGCATTCAGTTAAATGATACTTACATAGGCTTCATCGTATTCTGTGATTTATAAATGAATGTAAAAGACCTCTTTGCCTATGTACAGACAGAGTTTGAAACACCTTGTAGAGACGCCAACATATGCATTTGGATAACCCAAATTTATCATTTTAGCATATTTGTTTACCTTCAACTCCATTACCTAAACCTCACTTCTTAGTGATGAGATATCTCTTGAATTGTGTGCAAATTAAACTGTTGAAATAAAAAAATGTAATTATAATATAATGTATACGTATATATGCAAAATGTTTCATAGACTATTGTATTATAACAGAAAGATCCTCATACAGGGTTGATTGATGTGAGTTTCTTTTTTAACATAAAAGCTATAAAGATCACGTCAAAAGATGAAAAATTAATCATAAATATATAAATATTAGTACCTAAATGTGAGGATAAGACCGAGATCCAACGGCTAAAGCCTATAGAGTCATTGTATCCCTTCTTTTGAAATGGCGTTTTTGGCTTATTATACCTCGTTTTTCTTGATTCTTTCGCAATTACTTAAAATAATTTTCTACAGTTTGTAATTAAAATTTTATTATGCTGATGACCCCCATAAATGTCCGCTTTCGAGGACTAAATTCCCATCTTTTCCCTATCGTCGGGCCTAATAAGTGGACGTATATAGACTTATAAGAATAAGAATAAAAGTTTTTCTTAACATATACATTAGTCCTTAACTCGGTCAACCAATGCTAATTAGATCAAGACAGATAAAAAATTCAGTATCTAAAGATTTATATCAATGTATTATAATGCACATTAATTGTTTGCTGAACATTGAAGGATTGATTTGGAATAGATTTCACTGACTTTTTGGTCACCCTGTAGCTCAATTGCTCGTAAATTAGAGCCACACATTTGTACAGAATTCGGTTTTGGTACAGAAAGACGTGGTCATTTATGCAGTTACATCTAATCTCGAGTTTCACTTAGCATCAGGAACATGCGTCGAGAATGTCTCGCAGTGAGATCATTCACGAATCTAGTTCGAACCATATGACATTTTCAACACTTTTATATTGTCATACAAATTACTTGGTAGTATCCAGTAATTCGTATGGAAGTTTATATGAAAATTGAATTCATGTACTACTTACACGTTTGGATTTCATTCCCATATGAATCATACTGCCCGGTTATTCTTACGGCTCCACGAGCATATTGAAGATGCATGCCACTTGTGTTTTAGTAGAATACTAAATACCTCAACAAGTGTTTCGTTTTTTTTTAAATGAAAGTGTAATTTAAACATCATTAATACTGATATTTTTATACATATAGAAAATTTGTATTTGTATAACACTAAAATCTCCAATGTCAATTGCTTTAGAACTTTTTGTTGTTAGTTTAATGCCTGTATTGTTTTATACTCTATTATTTAAAATATTTATTTTCAAAGTAAATATACCAATTAAACTGGAAAACTTTAAAGACGAAGCATCAAATAAAGGGTTCGTAATAGAATGTAAAAATTATTTTTACAAGAGAAAAACGTTTCGAAAAAATAGCAACTATAAGCTTTCAAAGTACAGTAAATAAAATTTTTCCACATTGAAAAACAAAAACTAATGCAAAAAGCAAAGAATATTCAATACAACAATCAGTTGGTGATGAAAATTTCATTAAAATTGTTGAAATTTAGTCATAAAAATTCGGATGCACTTGATGAATCCAAAAACCTTTAAAATGTTTCTTTATTAATTGTCTTTTAGATTTTTCAAATATCTCTAGATATATGATATCATTTTATAAATGCTTCAATATCTGATAACATACATTACTGTACCTTTGCAGATAGTATTTGTATAATGTCTGAGGTGTCAACGCTCAGTAGGAATCAGTTAAACGTTTCATAAGTAAAATCTATGTAATGCCTTTGTCCCTTGTCCTGTGTTTTGCCTTTGTCCATGCAAAATGTCCTTTCGTACGAAAATATTTCAATTGACCTAATTTGTTTCCGTATAAATTCTTTCTTAATTATCTTTTATTATATTCAAACGTAATTTTATAATTTTTAAATTTGTTAACCATACAAGAAAAAATTAAAAATAAGTTAAAAAATTATAATCAATCAAACGAGAAATCTCATACATTATTTCGATTTTTATATTTATCTTTTTGTATTTTATCTTTGCCGCTTATAACTTATTCATGATTAAAGCAAAGATGATAATAATTTTGTATTGTTATTCAGGCATTTATATTCATATAAAATTTGCCTTTTTTTCTGAAGATTTTCAGCTAAACTGCTGAAATTTTTCATTTTTCAATATGGAGGACTTCATGGATATCAAACTATTTTTATTAGAAAACTATTTTCTACTTTTTTCTTAACATTTTCTTTTATATTTTATAACAATATACAGTAATTTAAATATTATTTTATACAATAATTTTAATAAATGTTTGTATCATTTTTTTAAATAAGTTAAAAGTGATAAGTGAGTCCATAGTGCGTTGCCATGATAATATAAGCATGTAAATATAGATTATCGCATTCTTATCTATAAAATTACAACGAATACTGTTTAGGTTATAGTTTTGATTTCATATTTCTAAAAATTTCTTCTTTATTCAAGTGTATTAAAGTTAAACATTTCTATTAGTTACTACACACTTTTTGGCATTCCAGACACCTTTATCCTATCAGGTAAAAAAGTTATATAGTATTTTTATTAAGACCTTAAGTTGTAATGTCATGTAAGATAATTATATTATAAAATAGTTCATCTACTATAACATTTGCTTATATATAAGTCATAATATACAGCTGAGATTTATAAGTCAGGTAAAGGTATTGGTTAGCTGTGAGGTATTGATAAATAATATTTTCAAAATTAATTGTTCAGTTAGAACAATATTAATAACTTTAAAAACTTGAATTTTTGGCAATTTTTATCTATTTTTCTCAGGATTAAATCAAAAATGTATTATATTTTAAATTAAATAGGCATTTGCGCAAATTATGATATTTTTACAAATATTGAAAATATTTATAAGCTCTTAAGAAGTTCATTTTCGAGTGAAAATATTAATTTTTAATTTTTTGGATGGTTTTATAATTGTTTTATAATGTCTAAAATGAATAACGTTATACAGCATAATACAAAATCAATAGACGGTAGAAAGTATTGTTACAAATCTTTAATAATAATCAACTAATAACCAATACACTTCCCATTTTCATTATAACTTTTTAGATACGTTCTGACATTGATTGTATAAGTTTTTGAAGGCCTATTGTAGTTATTTCTTCCCAATGGATGTTAATTACATGTTTAACTCATCTACATTCTACACTGTTATATTGGCACCCATCAGCATATACAGCTCAGATTCACCAGAGGTTTTCCATTGTTGTTTTCTAAGATGATTTAGCTGTGTGGATAGGGGCATTATCTTATCGGAAAAAACGAACGATTTTCAGCAATTATATCAGCCCAAGACAAAAGATAACTTGCTAGTTTGTCTTGATAATGATTTGTATTTATTCAGCTACTGAGAAATGCAATATTTGACTTGCCAAACCAACTAAATCCACCCCATACCATCACTGAGCCTCCTCCTTGCTGCTGTTTTGAAAATATTTCTTCCTCACCCCTCAAATAGATGCCACTAACAAAGCCAACCATCTGGTCCATCGAGATTAAACTTCTTCTAGTCACTCCAGATGATGTGCTTTCATGAGTCTGCTCTTTCCATTTTCTCCCGTGCCCACTGCAAGCACTTTTGCTCATGGATGAGAATTAGTAATGGTGCAGGCTTTTTCTTCTTATAGATGAGATTCTGACATGTACTAACAATTCTTTCAATTGTAGAATTTGACACATTGAGCTCTGGTTTTTATGCTAGTTTTCGTAAAGATGTTTGGTTGCTTTTGATTTTCCTCAAAATACTACGTTTTCCTCTATTTATAAGCTTTGAAGAGTTGAAGAAGATTTGAAGAACCTGTTGATTTCTTTTGTCCGTATTTGTCTCCAAGCTTTATGAAATTATCAATTACAGTTGAAAAACGATTAATTTTCTTTGCAATTGCTCTTGCTGAGTAATTTTCATCTCTTAAAGCTGAAATATTTCAACTTCTGTTAAGAGTTTTGCACGTCCCATGATGAAAAAAACAATTCATTTACATCAATATGTAACAGAAATAAACATTTGAAATACGTGGCAGTTACTGTATACTGTAGTACTGTATGGCATCTATTGTTAGAAAATCGAACTTGCCATTATATTTTTGGGACAGCGAGAAATGTAATTTTGATTTAAATTAATTTACTGTTAAGTTGTTAAACAATAACCTTAAAATCACTGAACAATGGTAGTTGGCGCGAGGTCGTGCTTCACCAGTGGGCAGGCCACGTGTTTTTCGGGTTTTATTGGATGTGTAAAACCCAAATAATTGCCAGTTTCCATAGAAAATAGCAACGCCATACATCCCTTTTGCAGATTATTCAATTGTTGCGCTGTCTTATTTCAACAATCCAATCCAATCTTCATAAAAACTAGCAACTTACTACTCACAGTTTTCGATAAATTTAGTCGGAGACTATTGATATGATTATTCTACGAGTTTCTATTAAACTAAATTATCAATTTTTTTCAGCATTGCGAGGAAAAGTACATTACGGGGATATAAAATGGAAGAAGTGATTAAATTTGAGTGTGAAATAATTGAAAATCCTAGGTCTAGCATTGAATCCAATTCGGATGATCCACCGAATAAACGTCAAAAACAAGAGGCTGACGTTCAAGAAAGTACTGCTGAAATATTCGAGCAATCCAGTATTGCTAATGAGGAAAATCAAAATATTCAAAGTTCTGTTGAAGATAAGATAGAAATAAAATTAACACGAAAAGAAGAATTAGATTTCAGTCTGGTGCATATGTTGGTTACTGATTTAGAATCATTTGAATATGTGGAACGTAAAGGCTTCAGAGATTTTGTAAAGAAACTTGACAACTCATACGAAATTCCTTCAACGATTCACTTAAAATATAAACTTTTTCCTGATTTATACAACGTTTTAAAGTTAAAATTGCAATCTCTTCTGATGGAAGTCAAATTTGTTACGCTTTCAACAGATACATGGAGTAAATCAAGTTGCGAATGTTATTACATATCCATCACTTGTCATTTTATATGGAATAATCAACTGTATGCAGCTGCCTTGGAGACCAAACAAATTGAGGAGCTATCAGCAAATAAACTCTTCACGGTAAGCCATTTTTTTGTATAAAAATATATTTTATAGTACTTACTATATTTCAAAACTTATTTCAGGCAATTCAAGACGTTATAGACAATTGGAATCTTAAAAACAAAGTGGTATGTATAGTGACTGACAACAATACCAATTTTAATGAAGCTGTTAATAAGTTAGGACTTTCTCATATACCAAGTTTTGTACACAGTTTAGAGCTTGTTGCAAATGATTGTTTCGAACTTCCAAGTATCGATAATATTATACAGAAATGTAAACGTGTCGTTCATTGGTTTAGCTCAGAAGCTAGATTCAAAGACAAAATTGAACAAAATCCTACATTACAAGAAACTTTACACTTGATCTCTTCTGTGACTTCAAACTGGATTAACGTCTATTATATAATTAAGTGTATGGTGTATTTAAAAGATGACTTAGAAGAATTGTCGGAAGATATGCCATCCACATTTACTCCTGGAGAATTATCTACTATAGAAGGTTGTTTCTTTTGTCTCGATTGTATACGAGTTGCCATAAGCGATACAGATCATAACCAGTACTCGATGCATTCATTAATCATACCTACAATGAGCTTTGTTCATGAAAAATTGCGTATGGTAGAAAATGTTAAAATGAAAACGGCACTTTATGAATTATTTCTAGATCGAATGAAGAATTCAATACATAGCAAGTTGAAATTTTACGAAACTGCAGAAATACCATTGATGAGTTCTATTCTCGATCCAAGAATAAAGAAACATGGTTTTCGGCTTCCTCTGATTGCTGTGAAAGCAGAAAACCTATTACTTCAAGAATCATCATCTGTCATCGAACAAGTCAAAACAAAAGATGAAAATTCTTATCAGACTTCTCCAATTAAAAGTGAAGATAACGATGCTTGTAACTTGCTAAATTTTCTAGGTGCTCATATAAATCAAATATATAAAAGAAGAACCAAAACTTCTACTATTACGATAGAGTTAGAAAGTTATTTAGCAGATCCCATCATTGAAATCACTAGTAACCCTATGGATTATTGGAAAGAGAATCAAATGGTATTTCCTAATTTATATATATTAGCTTGCAAGTATTTGAGCATTCCAGCTCATTCTGTGCCTACAGAAAGAATATTTTCAGATGTCATAAAGAAACAAAGTCAGAAGATAGAAAATGAAGATAGTTATGTTGATAAGTTCGTATTCTTTCGTCAAAATAAATGGCTTAAAAATGTCGATATCTGATATTAAAAGTTTTATGTCCTCCATATATAGCTGTTTCTGATATTGAAATCAAGTTTATGATAACCTGAAGCGGGCGTTTTCATAAAATGTAAAGAAATGAATAACTTTTGCTAAGAATGCATCATATAAAATAAAAAAATAAAATGTTTTAATACTGTTTTGATGCTCGTGAAGTTCAATTTGAAAATATAAACTATTATACGAATTTTAGTGTAATAATACAAACGTTGTAAATATATAACTAGAACAATTGAATTCTTATATAATAATTCCAAGCAGAGTTTCCAATCGTAAGCGTTTAACACTGGCCAACAACGAGTTTCGCTAGCAGCATCGTATTATTTCACGTTGCTAGCGTTTTTCAAAAGTCAAATCTTACAAAGTATTAAAATTCGGTTTAAATTAGTTTAACAGCCACTGTTCACACTTATTTTTTCTGCAGTATAATAAAACAGAACTTAATCTAGTGTAAAAGGTGCTAAACTGGCAACGTTGCTGCACTTTGCACCCGCACGCAGCTATTTTGTCAGCGAGTTAATTCATAATTTGAGCACAGGTACAATGTTGTCAGGTCTCGTGAAATTTCATCAAATCAGATTTGATTTAATAAAATCTTTAGGAAAAACCTTTTATTTTTGGAATTTTCAAAAATCCAATATTACAAATGGTGTATATTTTCGTAAATTTCTTCTAATTTAGCCAGTTTAAAGAATATTCGTTGCGTCCTACTTTTATCAATAGTTTACATTACTACGTTCTTTTCCGAGATCTCATAAACTGCATTTAATACGGTTAGGTAAACGGGCGAAGGAAAAACAGTTCAATATACATAATACATAACTATATTTAGAAAGCTTGTGCCTTCGAAAACTTAAAATATAAACTCATATAATTTCTACTTGAAAAGTTTTCAGATTTTCAAGTACATATTTCGTGATTTTCAATTATTCCATCTGGCATCTCTGAATAACTAACTAAAAGGCGAAACATGATGAAAGAACAAAAAATAATTAATTATGTATATTGTAGAGGTTTTACAATATTCTGTCCAATAAATATATGTAATAAATATGATTTTGTGATGGTCAGCATTTTTTTCTCAAAACCTTATAGCAGTTTCCTATCCTGAAAGTTGATTATTTTGTCCAAAATTCCTACAAAATTCCGAAAACTTCGCTCGCTCGCATCTACGAGATGATGAAACGTTTCTAAATTCCGTTCAGACTTTGGGAATAAGTACAAATTGCTAAGTAGAACTTATCACACAAGACCACTACTAGACGAATAAAATAGGCTTTATTTTATATAATGAAAGGATGTGCTAATATATAGTCTAATTTATTCATCTGATAGTGTTTTTGTGTAATGAGTTTTATTTAGCAATTTTATGCTTACTTCCAAAGAACAAAAGAAACAACAACAAGCAATCAAGTATTAAAGAATACTCTGTTTAGACTGTGCTTTTCCATTTAGTATGCCATGCTATGTGTTTTACTGTACAACATCATACTTCATGCACTTTTCCAAGTACTAAATAATTATAAGTCTACCGATATGTAATTTTTAAATGATTGCTTTGCATAATAGCAGGTTCTGTTCACAAATAGTTATGCAAGTCGTGCAGAATAATTTCAAGCCATTTTGTGGTATCTCTGCTAAAGAAATTGTATAGTTCAACGACTAAGGAGTCGGGCCAGTCGAGGTCAAGTTGCTTGAGCTTTTCTTTATATCCAGCTTTAGTCTCATTATTAAGCCCCGGATTTTTCGGATCGATAAAAGTGGAGTTTCGGATCCGAAATCGCATCGAATCGAAAAGATTGCGTTTTCAGATTTATTCTCGGAACAAAAGTAATTATAAAAATAAAACAAAATTATCAAATTTTCTTCAGTTACCTATTTATTAATTAATGCAGTATACAATATTATAAACTGTTTAAATATGACCATNTTTATTCTCGGAACAAAAGTAATTATAAAAATAAAACAAAATTATTAAATTTTCTTTAATTATTTGTTTATTAATTAATGAAGTATACAATATTATAAACTGTTTGAATATGATCATGCACATACAAGAAATTTATTAATATTTTCTTCTGTCAGACTGTGTGGACAATCACTGAAAATGTTTTTATACAATGAAAAATTTCTCTCGGTCTCGAACGTAGTCAAACGATAGTATTTCAGCAAAGGTACAGGTACATTGGCAAACCCTACATCCTCAGCGATCTCTCACTAGACAGCTATTAATTTGGCGAAACAGAAAAACCACTGTTCTTCTCCAAAAGAACATCTTCGTGCGACGTTTGTCTCCGCATAAACCAGGAAAGTTTTAAATCGAATCCTCTACTGTTTGAAAAATTTTTAGAGATTCTTCAAATGACAACCCTCTTGCTTCTAATGCTTCAATGATATCCGGAAAATTTAACAAATGGGCGCGGATGTAAGCTAGAGAAGCGATTAAATGTGGATTCTCCAAAACTTTCTTAACATCCGTAACGAAAGAGCTTTCTGATTCATCCAGTTCATTGATATAATTTTGAAAGTCAAGTGAATGGTCCGCATAGACTACTGTTGCTTTTAATCATGCGCCCCAAATCGTGGCTATGGAAGAGGGTGGCAAAGGAGTATCTGGCAGACGCTCAAGATGCATAGCAGTTCGTATTGGTGCCCTCGCAAGTAGTTTCTTGCCGGAACAAATGAGGACTTTACATCTTTAAAATGTAAACGAACTCGTTCGGCCAGAAGATGTAAAGCGTGATTCATGTTACGTGAATAAGATTATATAAAAAGTTCTGACTAAACATGACAAAAACTTTAATTATACAACATAATTAAACCTTCCTGAACAAATCTTGCTATCGCGTCTGCATTCGTCCTCTCCAGAAATTTACATAAAAAATGATGTTTTAGTGCAGTCTTTTTCGTCAAGTTTTCGTACTTAAAGCATTAAATCATTAAAGCAACATATCGTCCGCATGCATCTACAGTTTCATCTACAGCAAGCATTGTCACTAATTTCTTTGCAGAGTTCTTCAAACATTTCTTGATGTACACGTGGGAGATAATTCTTCCGCAGTGTTGATTCATCATAAAGATTCTGCTTCGTGTATTTTTCTAAGTATTTACTGATCAAGGGATATATTGCATTCTATAAAGGTCTTTGCTGCATCTAAGAAAAATATTTCTTTGATCCTGAGATTCCATTTTTGTGAGCAGCATCTGGGATGTTCGATCCTGTCGACGTGCTGCTTGCAGAACGCACATGATCCTCAAAATGTGATTTCTTCATGCACACAAATGCATTTTGGCATTCCTTGCAGAACACTTTTAAGCCATTCACTTGTGAAGTCTCTCTCGGCTAACTTCTCTTCAGTCACCCACTTCACAGAAGTTGAGACAGAACTTCTATGCTTACCTATTAAATTTCCTAGTCTGTAGCCGAATATAAAACCTCGAGGCTGAGCACGCTTCTGCACTTTACATTGTCACCAATAATTTATTAAAAAAGCAGCCAAAAAGTTACCGAATAAAATTAAATTAGATCAAAAGATAAGATAAACAAGACGCTAATAATTTTTATTTTCGTCGATTAAAACAAAACTGGATGTGACATAAAGTAATTCAACCTGACAACATTATCTACAAAACGACCTCGAAGGTGTCTCTGCTTTGGTTTGAAATCCGAAAGGGATTTTATGGTAATTACAGTGGATGTCAAGGACCGTATACATGACAGTATTTCTCCGAAAATATGAATGTATTTTTAAAAAATTGCAAGAAAATCCAATAAATCGAGCATTTTTGCTGATTTCGGTTCAAAAAATGTAAAAAGTTCATTTTCGTCGGTTAGAAGCAAAATGTGTTATTTTCAGAACGTTCCTCGAATTCTCAGATAAATCCGGGGGCTACTCATTATCCAAAATGCAATAATTTCTCATAATTATTTATTTTTATTTTATAACCGTTTTGGTTTTAAAATATTAAAACTATTTCAACGTGTTCAACGAGCAAGGTACAAACATGCCAGAATCATGCACGTGCTCAGCTATCCGAAAATGAGATTCCACCGCTACTATGATGCTTTGCGCTTTGTTTTATAGAGGTCAGTAAAGTTCCTAGCAGTGGCTGACTGGTTAGAAAAATTAAACACTGATGGTTAGTCTTGAGTTCGCGCCTGACAATGTTTAATAACACGTTTAATAAGATGTGGATTTATTACATTTTTATGAGTCACAATCTAGATTAAAGCATAAAGCATTGAACACTTCCTTTGAAGAAGCTTTAGTATAAAAAAATTCTGCTGAAGTCTTTACAATAACCTTCAGAGTGTTGAAGCTAGACAGTGTAACCTGTCTATAAAAATTAATTTAATATTGATGCAATGCGATTAACGTTAAATATGCACCTATTGATACACTTCAAAGGTGAAAGAATTAATTTTAAACTATTCTCAGTTTGAATAAATCCATGATAAATTAAAGGAGTGATTTAAAGACTATTATTTTTAACAGAAAAATAATGAAATAAATTTTCATTCCGATAATATTATTTTTACGAACCGAAATCGTGTCATCTTCAATAGTTCGCTTACCGACTGTTACCTAAATATGGCGCTTTACACGCAAATTTTTAACGTCATCGTCAAGTCATCAAATATTTTGTTATCTTTACAAATAAAATTCTTTATTCTCATTAAACAGAACATTACATTGAAACATTGAACATTAAACAGAACATTACAACTGTATATGTACAAAATTAGTTGCGTAATGAAGGGCTTCGTGTTTAAAATCATTTGTTGCTATTTAACGATTATTTTCCGCCTTCTTTCTAAACAGACACGATCTTTAACTGTCACGTCATCTAATGAAACCTTTCCAACTCTTCTAATGGTAGCTTCGAAGATAACCTACGAAAAACATGTAATTACTCATAATGCTAACAGATGGCACTAACTGAAATTCATTTTTTTTAAATTAATTTAAAATTAAGCTTTTATTCTTACTGTTTCTCCTATATTTAATGTAATTTTAATTATAAATTTAAATCTTTAAAAAGCTTTTAAAAATGTTTTTTTTTTTATTTGGTAAAATAATAATAAACAACACTTTGTGATTTTATTGCTAAAATAAAATATTTACCCTTATTTGCTGATCAATTATAGGTAATGAAACAGAATCGAATAACCAAAAATCTCCAAGATCCTCTTCAGCTTCCCAAATTTTCCTAAGTCCAAAACTTTCATTCGACTTTATTTGAATAAATATTCTTAACTTTACTTCCATTTTATTTAAATTATACCAAAATTGAATGCAATAACCATTTTTACTAATTGGAAACCAAGGTGTTATGATTCGTGACTTTTCTCTCCTTTCAGAAGTATTCCGTTCAGTAGATAAATAATAGCCTTAAAAATAAAATGACGTCACAAACACGACTTTTTAATTCTGCGGAAATCAATTCGTCACTTCCGCTTAATGGCGTAAATGACATAAATATCAAATTCGACTTAATTTATTTAATAATAATAATAATTAAATTTACCTGAATTTATACCAAAAGCACGATTAATATCATTATCAATTTCATCATCATTACTCCCGTTTGATTTCGTTATTGACCAATCAAAATCATTTCTGGTATCCTGAGTCATGTGACAAGTCCCGTTATTAAAATCGCAGAAATAAGGAAAAACTAAATAAAATTTATACGTATATATTAATAATTCGAAACTAAAAGTAAATATTAAAACATAGTAAAATTCGTTTTAAAATATATTTTAAAAATCGCGAAAATTAGGCTACCTGTTTCTTTACAAATACTTGTACATATTTTTGTTTGTTTCTGTACGGGAATACTCTTTTGCCTTTCGTAGATGGAAATATTATTATGTAGAAATTCAAATTCGCTGTCGGGATCATCTGGAAACATTAAATTACGCTTTTGCCGCTCACTTCTTTCTCTAAATCTGTATCTAACTCCATTACCGCAAGTAACGCTACAATGGCTCCAGGTTGTCCATTCTTCCCAGTCGGAATTCACATTTTTCGGATATATCTGAAAAATTTTACATGTTAAAAGCTAAAATATGCTTAAAAATATAACTGAAAAGAAAAATTTTTGTCCGCAACTTACCACGCTGCCATAGGATTGGAGAGCAAAAAATATTAAAATTAATAAACCTCGCATCTCACTGAAGATAATCGAAAATTATTCTTAAATACTCTTTAATCTTCCCACAATTTTTTATTCCGCCCTCGCATTAATCGTTAAATTAATTACTTTACTAAGAATTTAACCCACTATACTGTGACGTTTCCTTCTGAGTCACGTGATTGCTAATGATATCATCATAATTTTTTTTTCGTTTCTTAAGAAATTATACAAAATACCAATTACTTTTTAAAGTTTTGCTACGAAACATAAAATAATTATTATTTATTTATCAAAAATATAAATATATATTTGAATATTTCGTATTGTTAATGACGTAAAAGTTGTCTTAATTAATATGAAAAATATAAATTTTCTTAATAATAAAATTTTATTTACAAATTTTGTTATTACTGTTTAAATAGTGTATTTAATACTGTAATTAAAAAAAGTTTAATTAAGAAGTTTTTTAAACTTCAGCCATCTTTTTTCCCCTAAATAAAACTTTACGCAGAAATGAATAAATTATATTTTAAAATTATAAGAATTTTAATTTAAAGTATTAATTTAAATGACACTCTTTATATAAAATAGCATTAAAATAACAGACGACAAAAGCATTATACAGTGTTTTGTTTTTCACAAAGAGGGCGCCATTTTGAAAATACGACAGCGTTTTATCTCTACGACAGGTATTTTCATTAATTAATTATAATCATTTATTTTTAAACTTTATCTGATTTTTATGAGAATATTCAATATTTGAAACATATTATAGGAAGATGATCTGCCATAAGTCACTTCCAGTAAGGAGTGCCTTTCCTGTCTAGTGAAAGATGTTTTTCTCAGAAATAACATCAATAAATGTATTTATGTCAAGAACATTATCTTCAAATAACAGTAAGTGAGTTTCTGAACAGTAAGAAGGGGTGATTAGTCACAAATTTATCATTATTTACCATATAAAGTATCACAGAACATATTATGTTCAGTTTGTAGGAGGCCCCAGACGAGTGTTAGCCTCCTACAGACATATCGCACGCTATTAGGCATTGTACAAAGTCTAAGATTGTAGTTAGCATTGAATTCTGAGTATTAGACCAAGACCAAGTAACAAGTATGAGGGCTATAAAAGGCCCTAGGAAAAAATGTAGTTTGTTTACGCTTAAAACATCCAGTAGCCATGCAGATAAATAAACAAAAGAAAAGCTGTTTAGTTCAAGTTGCCAGCGCACATTAAACATTGTCAGTCAAATATCGTCCTCAGCTTACAGCTACTCAATTAACTAATAATATATAGAACGGTGTTTCTCAACCGCCAGTCTGCAGAAAAATATTTGACCCATACCGATGCTGGAACAGTTGATTACGTATGACACTTAAATAGTAATCTAGATAATCATATATAAGCAAAATAAATAAGTATAATTCATAGTCGCATATAATTACTGGTCCGTGATGAAAAAAAAGGTTGAGAAACACTGTTATAGAACATTAATATATTAAATGAATTGTTATAACCTCAGAATTATCATACATCTGTCTGAAAATGTTTTGTTAATAGTTAGTTGCTTGAACTACTACGCAGTCATTTTGTTTATTTATATAAATATACAAATTAAGATAAAAGAAACTCATTTAAATTATTTTAATATAAATAAGGATTTAGCATCAGGTTTACCCTAATGTACATAACAAGCAGATTATTACACAAAAACTCAATAAATAATGCTTTATTTTTATACAAGTAAACACCATACATTCATTCATACGTATTCACAAATGTTGAGCTATAAACTCGAATTACATTGTCATTCCTAAAATTTCATTACAGTTATACATTATACAGATGAACAAGGAACTAATAATCCAGGATGACGAAGTGTATTAGTTGTCTCATTTTATAAGTGTTTATTTTGGAAACGTTGCAAGTAACTGTTTGAAAGTTCACTTATGTTAACGAATTCAGGCAGTTAAACAATTGGTATCAACACTGCACTTCGTGTGGATTTTTAAAAGTGAGTTTTAAAAAATAAAATAACTCTATGATATAACTCTATGAATAAACAAACTAAAATATGTGAAGTAAGACATATTTAAAAATAGAAGCTTTCAGCAATTGTGAACTATTTTACAAATCAGTCCCCTCGTAGCCTGAAACGAAAATAAAGGAAAAAAAAAGGTTAAAATTTGTTATTTTGGTATTTTTTTCTATCTAGAAGTATTTATTTTTAGCTATACACACCCGGTATCCCACGATAAGAACGAGGAAGAGTGCAATAGTTGTACGGATGATTAAAAGGTTGCCAGCTGTTGCAAGTTGCAACATCTCTTGCTTGGAAATTCGGTCTTATGTAAGGTTGAGGATTCTTTTGTTTGTATGAATTACTCGACTGTTTTTGATATCCACTCGAAGCTTGATTTTCTGAATATGGCTGATGCATCGGTTGGATTTTCTGTTGAAATTCTTGTTTCTGATAAGTGGGTTCAGCGTAATTTCCGCTTACTTGGATATTTATTTGACTTTTTTTCTTCGGCATTTCGGCTGCTGCATGAATTTATATGTTAAGAATGGGATTTATTCAAAAATTTAACTTAAAATTTACCTGGTGTTTCATTAAAATCACGTCTTTCAAAAGGCTTGTAAGGCTTGGGCTCAGGAATAAAATCTTTTCCATAAGTTGCCGTTTGTAAAGTGCAAGGGTCACCCCAATGCTCGAAGACTTTGAGATTTAAAATAATATTAAAAATTTTGAAATATCCAAATTATTTATAATTTCGCTAGTTACCTGGAGGAGGCTCAGGAGACTCAGGAGACTCTCCGTCTGTTCCTGTGATTCTTTGCAATGTTTGGAAGAATTTTGAAGGTATTGGATTTCGCGTAACTCCTGTAAATGTCATTTCGTCATCTTCAGTTTTTCTTCTTGCTGGAGATTCTTAAAAATAAAATTTAATGATTGATAATTTGTTTTACGTTGCTTATTTTAATTTTTAGGTTTCTTTATATTATTGTCCACATATATTTAATCACTACATGAAATTGTAAATTAAATCAAATAATTTGATCCTATCCGTTAATTTTATATCAAATGTATACTTTCTACGATGTGACTTAATTAGTTGTAATATATTAAACGTAGAAACAGGTCCATTATAAGGAGTGTTAACAGATCATTTGTTCCGGGCCTCGTGTTTACAAATGCCTCAAAATCTTATTATAACTAATTCGTTTTTTCTCTTTTTTATATTAAGAGGGGGAAGTTTATATTTTGTCAAGATTTCTTATTTAAAACAGATGATACAGTTTAATGTGGTGGGTCTATTAAAAGGTAGATAGCTCGAGCCTTTATCGACCTCTGAAAGGCCCTATATAAAAAATATTTGTTCTGAAATCTATGAAATTTGATAGGTAACTTATGTTCGTGATTGATGTCCACTTATCGAATTTTTTAAGATATTATTTTTTCCTGGAATTGATCCTTTAAATGTTTATCTTCAAGATCGATGTTTTTGTTGGGTATTCACAGAATATCCTTAATTTTGACAGGATTTTTTTCTCGTATTATTAATTTTAGTTAGGTTGATTTTGGCTCTAATGGCATAAATTAGAATACATATTTTTATATAGAATGACATATTTTTCAAATTAATTTAAAGATAAAGAGTTTTAAAACATTCTCAACTAAAATACTTTTTAAAAAATTTTATAATGCATTATTTAAACATTTTTGAAATTAGTTTAGACTCATGTTTCATTATTTTACCAAAAAGTTCAGTTTTTTCAATGATAATTCGTTTTTAATACAAAAGAATAGTTTAAATGTTTTCAATAACATATATATTCCTCAAAACCTTCAAATTTAAATTCTATTTTAAATATTTTAAGAGATTTGAATGTCTGCCAATCAATTTAAAATAGATCATAAAAACTTACACTATCTAATTTCATCATTTTTAAAGATAAACTACTATAAATATTTTAAAAATAATATTGTGTAAATCATTTAAACCGTCTTAGAGCTCATAATTTGATGTTTGTTGAAGAAGTTGATAGTATGATTGTTTAATATCCTTTAATATTTATTCAAATATACAAAATCATATGATTTCTAACTTCCGAAATATTCTATTTTTCTATTCTTAAAATTAATATAGATCCTGTGTGAATTGTTAACTACTCTTAGTTTACTGGAAGACGAAGTCGTCGTCTTGTTTAACTGTTTATCTTAAATTTTGATTAACGAACCGAGCAAAACAAGAGATAAGACCATTGTTTTTGTTTCTTCCGGTGTATAATGATTTTCTTCTGTCATAATTTTACGCTTGCCATTGATTATAGTTTTCGTCCATCTAACATGATCACACCCCTGTGATGACAGTTTTTAAAACATCTGTAACGTGATTTATTTGCTAAATGTCTCAGATTTTTACGTTATTTGAGAGTAAGTGCTTCTTGTAAAGCTACTTACTCTCAAATACATTACTCTAATGTAAAGCGAATATATTTCTTTACTCTCTAAACTACATACTACATTTTTCTTGATTTATGTCGTTCATGAAAATCTGAGTTACGTACGTAGATTTTAAAATTATAAATTATTTAGAATTTTAAAAAAAAGAAGCGTATTCATAAATTTCTATATGAAAGGATTTTTGTTTTCTATTTAAGTGTATCAAACCAAATAATTAAACAATAGAGATTTGTTCCAGAGAAAGGTATTGATGGGATGAGGTAACGAGTGCATAGGCGATCTGCCAAAGGGAGGATACATCTCGGGAAGACTTTCTACGGGAAACTGGTACCTATTTAGGTGTTACAAACATGAAGAAAACACGAAACTCCACACGGCCAGCCCGTTGATGAAGCGCGAACCCATGGCCAGTGTTCGGTCGTTTTGTCCACTTCGGTCATTGGTTGGCTTCTCATTAAACAGGAGAAGAAACACTAGAATATTGACACAATAAGCTTTATTTTTGCATTTTTAAATCAACTGCGATATCTATCGATAGAACGACATTGAGGTCTTCTTTAAGAATGGAAAAATAATAAAAATCAATGTGATATTAAATATCACGTTAAATAAATGGATACATTTTAAATCAAGTAAGTAAATTTTACCCACAAATAAATGGAGAGATTATTAAAAACTGGAAAACTTAGTTATTAATATCTAATAAATAATGAAATTTTAATTTCAATGTAGTTTAAGGCCAACGTAGAAGGAAAAGATGAGATTTAGCAATTTTCAATCAGTCGAAGAAATTTTTACAACATACAAAATGAAATATTAATATTAAATTTAATAAAAATAAACTAAATATTCTGTAAATATTATTTAAACTATTGATTAGTAGAAATCTCATTTTATTGAAAAGCATTCGAAAATATTATATTTTAATAAAACTTAACACCTCTGAAGGAATTAAGCGGTAAAAATGCTTTTATCTATACTTTTTTAATATAAAGAAAATAAATTATACTTTCTCATTTATATGAAATTAATAATTGAATGGCTTATATTATAATTACTAGGAAAGAATGATTAATCTATTTTTTAATACTTTATATAAATATATTAAAAATTTAGTAGAATTTAAGATAAAAAAATTACTTAATTACATACACAGAATGGCCCAAAAGTCAGTTAACCATGTTTTTTTACAGAACGTTAGCAATTTGCGAATATACTGTACCGTATGTCAACGCATCATAATTTGCTCACTGAACAAGAAGAAAAATCTGATTTTGAACATTTTTGAAAATTGTAAATAACAAAATACCCGAATAAGACAGTACTTTATTTAGTTTTTACAGTGGTTAACTGACTTTTAGTCCCTCTTGTATATTTCAGATCGTCTATAAGCGTGTCATCTATTTATCAATGTGATTCTGTAGATCTTATTCTCTACGTTATTTATTACTTTGCACACTTGAAATTTATTTGTATTTAAAATGATATTAAAAATACTTACCATTAGAAACATTATCTGTTGTATCAGTCATCAGTTGTAACAATCGAAAAGATTTGGACTGACTGTACTTAGGAAATCCTTCCTGTCCAAAAGACTGTGATCGAATAATTTCACCGTTTGGTGAAATTTTCATGCTAGAAATTGAAATTATGTATTTCATCTTTACATAGAAAATATATTTAAAAATATTTTCTTACCTTTCGAGTTCTTGGGTAAGCAAACTAGCTTGCTTCTGAAATTCCTCCTTTGCATTTTGCGTAGAATATAAGCTTAATGGAGAATTATAAACAGGTTTTACCAATAATTCTTTTTGTCTTTCTACACTTTCAGGTGGTCTGGCCAATGGCGAAATGACACCCTGTAACCTTTTATTAGCTTCTAATCTTTTTTGCATACGTGGGGATTTGATTTCTGATAAATCTATCCCTCCCGGTGTATACGTAAATGGTTTCTTTTCCCTCTTCAACGAGTTGATCAAAGCTGCTGGTAGATTTGTGAACTGATCGCAGACCTCTGGTGTTGGAGGCTCTTTAATGGACTAATAAATTTATAAGATGAGTTTTAACTTTAAATTTAAATAAATCTCATGTAGTAATACCTGTTGTCTTTCTTTCCAGGTAGGAAGACCATTATTTGTTGTTGGTAGAGGCGGTGGCTGAGGAACATCACCTCCACACGCACCAGGTGGGTTGTTTGATTCACTTCCGTCGAAAACAACACCCGGCGCCATGACGATAGGTCACAGCTCCTGTAAACAAAAGTTCATATACTTTATTTTAAATTATACAATGGTTTAATGGACTTAAATAACTTTTTATCTTTAAAAAGTAGCGATATATGAGATTTATAGAGAGTAAACATTCTCAAATTACTTCTTGGAATGATAAATTTGTTGGAATTTATACCTCGCACTTGCTTAGCCAAATCACTGTCACATAAATGACAACAATGTTCTAACAAACTGTAAAAATACACGTCGACCTTCTGACTTATGCAAATCTTATCTCTGTTCGATTTAAAATCAAAATTGTCATTAATACAATTACTTTAAAACTTGACATTAAGCCATAGAATAATTAATGATTTATGCATTTTTTTAAAATTATTACAGTATGTATTTCAGGTAAGGTGAAAGTATATCAGCTCGTGATTATCACGTGATTCTATATATATCGTTGTCTCTACTTTCTTTAATACTTTCCCTGTTCTATTTTTAGAATGTCGCTGGCAAGTATTGCTTGTATGACAAATTCGATTAGTAATTCACATTTTATATAATTTTTTTCGCTAATTAATATTTTAAAAGATAATTTTAAATGTAGTAAAAATTCTAAAACGGACATTAAACATTTTATAAAATTACACACTTAAATTTTGCTCCTCAATAAATTAGCTAATTTTAAAATTGATTTTTAAGTGTGTTTTCTTTAATCTAACTCTTTAAGCTCCCACTTAAAATCAGGATAGTTTACTTCATATAAGAACAATAATATATTCCTGTAAAGCTTACTTCACTGCATAAATAAACTGCCAACAGGAAAGCTTACTATCAACACAATTTTCTTATAACGACAGATTTTTTAAATAATTATTTGACATATAAATAATAAATCGAATGTAAAACCCTGAATCTTCGTATATATATTAGTCATCATAGCAACAAAAATGCTTTAGATACACTGACTCTAAGCCCTACTTTTCCCAACAGACAATTTGGCAATGTTACTCACTTTCTATTTCTGAGGAGTCATACAATTCAGGAATTACAAATTTCCACACATGTTAAGTTACAGAAACTATGAAACAATTAAATATCGTACTTGAAAACTGTAAATTTTTAAGTTAAAAGGAGACTTAAACATCTACAGTGCTAGCTTGTATATAGTTCTTACATATGTAAATTATTTAATAAAAAACAAACTTCAGTACAGGCTCAATTCTTTAATTAGTTAAATATTTGCACTGTAGACATTAGAAACAATAGTAAGGCCACGAATAACTTACTCAGCAAGCATTCTTTTATATGATACTGCAGTGCCTTTATCAAACTATTGGCAAGTTATTTCACATATTAAGAAATTTTGTACGTTATAGAATATTTCAGCAGTGTATGAACCAACATCTAACAATAATAAATTATAAAATATCCTAATTTTTATCCAAAAAAAGCACTTTAATGTTAACTTAACTCTATAACACAATCTCCCACAACGTTTCTGACACCTTTACACACAGAAATTGCAATAAAAAGTCAAGTCAAACTTACACTTTATGGGCAGAGTTATCAAACTAATCAATCAAAACAGCCAATTTCCTAGTCTATAGTAAAGTAAGTTTCTGAAGTTTGTAAGCAGGCGCTATAGAATCGTCTAATTTACACACATGCGCACTTATATATATACATAAAAAAAAACTATTAGTTTTATATAAAATTTTACAAGTTTTACGGTTAACTTACAGTGAAGAGTATAATTAAAACTGTACAACTTTTTCGGTTCTTATATAGTGCCAAGTGCAGAGTAGATTGAAGGTCACTGTGACGTGAACTTGGCATACCGTAAACTTTCATTTTCTGCCAATATTTGTAAATAGTTTCTTAAAAATAATAACAATATATACTTTTTTTTGCGATTTTTTACGCAATTTTAATTATATTTTCATGAAATTTGACTCCTGATAATAAGGGCTAAGATTTTTATATCTTTTTTTATATTTGTCTTATTGTTTATGTTGAAAACAAAGCTGAGCTTGCTGAAATAATAACCAGAATCAGCGATATTTATTTTAAGTTTAAACCATTTTTGCCTTTAAAAAAAAAATTAAAATTAAAATTTATATTTTTGTAAATATTCAATGGAATAATTATTGTAATTTTTTACAATTAAAAGGCTTTAAAAATACACTAATGTATCATCAAGTACAATTTTAAAATATTTTTTCAAATTAATTTTTAAATATTAATTAATAAAAACAACATAAAAATGCATTTTCATAAATTAAAAAATTAATTTAAAATATTACAAATTATTTATTTAATTGTTGTTAGTTTACAATAACTTATTTAAGCTTTAATTTATTTTAAAAAAATAATATAAAATTTTTTAAATAAAACAGTTGTTAATTGTTTTATTTAAAACACCCGTGCTGCCATCTGTTATTGAAGTATGTAATTATTTATATCGTATTTTGTTACTTTAATGTATTTTAAACGTTATTTAACTGTTTATAAAATCAAAACATTATTTTTAATTCAATTTAAAAATAAAATTTATGTTAATTAATAAAAAAATAGAAAAAATATTTTTATAAATTAAAAAAACTGAAATTATTTATAATACTTTAATATAATTTTATTGATTAATAATTGTTCATTTAAGCTTTAATTTACTTTTAAAATATTTAATTCTGTTCATAGAAGTTTTAAACATTAACTCATGCTGCCATCTGTTGTCAGAATATATAATTATCCATATACTGTTTGTTACGTGAAATAGATGAATATTGTCGACGTGTTTATGACGTGTTTTAAAGTGAAAATATTTATATTTATTATAGATTGCGTGCATTTATAAAAGAAAATTATGACGTCATAAAGATTACAAATTTGCGGGAGTTGTTACGTTTTCGTTGTATACAGTATCATAACACACTTGGACACGTAGCTCACACGATTCACGATTCACCTGTTTTTAAGTTGTTTCTTAGGTAACATGTTTGAGGCACGTCTTGTAGAAGGAGCCTTATTAAAGAAGGTTTTAGAAGCCATCAAAGATCTAATTAATGAAGCAACATGGGACTGTGCAGCTACTGGTATCAGTCTACAAGCTATGGATAATTCTCACGTTAGTTTAGTGTCGCTAAATTTAAGAAGTGATGGATTTGATAAATTTAGATGCGATAGAAATCTCTCACTTGGAATGAACTTGACCAGGTGAGTCGATATAAATTCTCTTAAAAATTAAAAAATTTAGGGAACTTGTTAACACTATAGATCAGTAAATATCAATAAACAATTTCATGCCTGATAAATTGTTTCATTGATATCAATGGACTCATCATAAACACACACAACCAAAAAATGGCTAAATTAGTAGATAATGAAGCCATATAATTAATTAACTTAACATCTAGTCTTGGACAGTAGAAAGTGGAATCTCATTCCATCTTCTACTGTCCATACCTGAGATTGACCCATTAACCAGATTGAAAAGTCTAAAGGTGTGAATATGCAGACGTGAGTGAGCGAGAAGAGGCAAGATATGATAAACATCAAACCATGTCAGATATGTGCAAGAACCAGAAATTCGCTCTCACCAGTGATATTTTTTGCTTCTTGCTTATACATGTTTTCCTTTGCGAGAACTATATCGCTTGCAACCTCTCTCTTGCTACTAAATTTGTGGCTGCATAGTCACACCCTTAGTCTTGGGTCCTCTTGTGCCAAGTGGCACACTGGGCAACCAGCTGTCTCCAGTGAATGCAATCAGCTGCAATGGTTTCAGCATCGTCCCATGGAATGCTAATCTACTTTAGATCACTACTACTTTATAAAGATACTACTTTAGATCTTTATACATAGAGCATCAAGTTATTTGTGGTCGACATTGTTTCTTTTCCCACTACAGTAATATCCCAAACTTACGCGATAGGTGGGATCGAGCAATAACTGCATAACTCGAATTCACGTAAGTCTGGGTATAATTTCGTAATTTGTGTAAAATCCAAGTGGAATGTATGTAAGCTAATAAATGTTCTCATTAATCTTATCTTGTCTTTTGATTCGTTCACGGTTACAAGAAATCACCACACAGAGTCTCTCAAGGCTCTGTAGATATAACAAACACAGAAATAAATAACACAAAATAAATTGTAGCTATGTGTCAATTCCACGTGACACATCCGAACATGTAAGCTGAACAATAGTGTGGGGGGAGTGAGTAATCAAGAGTTGTGTGGCACTCAAACAAAAGACGAATTGACAAGATTTGAAAATTGCGTAACTCCGGGTTCGCGTAAGTCGGGATAGTGTAAGTCGAGGTATTACTGTATGTGGTTTCCTTTTCAAGGCTGCTTTTGTTAAGCATTTCTCCATTAGACAAAAATAGATTACATGCTCTGCAAAACACATTCTATGTTCTGTAATAATGTCCTATAGTTCATGTAGGCCACTTCTTTTGATGACTTCCTCATTTGTGATGGAATACATTTCAGAGAAGTGTTCTTTGTGTCTTTCTTTCCATGTTTCAAAGGCATAGATTGCAGTTGGAATTGAAAACATTAGAAGTATTTAAACTACTACCTGTTAAAGATGCATTGATTAATTCAGCTGAATGACTCAGTAGCAAGTTCATTCTTACTGATCATTCAACTTTAGTAGACTTTTCTCAGCCAAGTAAGAATTAACAAATCTCTTAAGATTACTTCTAGGAGTTAAAATTTCTCTATTTAGTAAACTTACATTAATTGAGAAAAGTAAGTTGTGTTTCCACAATTAACAACTTTTCTTATAATTTGAATTACTAAATCAATCAGTTGAGATGACAAATATTGATCTCTACATTTTTATTTGCCATTGATCATCAAGACCTAAGTAACGGTGCATAAAGGAAAATGTTAAATTGATATATATTATTTTAAATGTCATCTTTTAAATTTAAGCTGAGGAGGGCCAAACAAGTAATTCGGCTGAAATGCTTTTGTAAAAAAGTCAAATTAATAGAAAATAAAACACCTTTCTGAATGTAAAAATTCTCATTTACTTAGGTCTTGGTGGTTAGTGGCAAATAGAGAAATAGAGAGATCATTATTTGTCATCTCACCTGCACTAATTTAGTGATTCAAATAATTTAAAGAAGCCACCCCTCATAGTTTTACAATAATAACTACTATTCTAAAATATTAGCAGTCTTTTTAACACTAAAATCTGTACAATGACTCTAACTTGAGCTAAAAGAACAAGCTTTTAGACTGGAATTTTCCTGCAGATTTCAATGAAATGATGTTACAGTGTTAAATATAAATATGGCCAATTTATTATAAAAACTGGATTTAATAAATCACATAATAGCTTAATATTGCTGCATTATTAAACATGGTCAGAGTTAAGAGTATTTGTAATGAATATGAAGAGTGTAAATGTTTAGAATCAGTTGAATTTTTTTAATATAGATTTTTTTCATTGGGGTAAATTATAGTAATTAAGCAAAGATAATTTAAGTGTGTACAACTAGAACTATTAATTTTTTTTTAATTATTAAATTTACTAATAAAAACAAAACAATAAACAATCTATGACTATAAACTTTGTAAGCCAAAGAAAATTGATTTTTTTCACTGAAACTTAACTTATCTTCTTAACATGTACAGTTCTTTTTAGTACAGAGTAAATAAAAGTGGAAGTAAATTAGCCTTATTTAAATGTTTTCAATTATGAAATTCCAAAACATAACTTTAAGATTAAAAACAGAAACTTTTTGGGGCACTTCTCAATTCAAAGTTCACAAACAAAAAACTGTCACTGGTGCTATGCATTTAATTTAGTACAGTAAAATTCTAGTTTTCTATCAAGATGAATTTATGATTTTCTAGTAGCAGTGATATGTAGATCAGAAATTATAATTTCAATAATTAATATAATTTTTTGGTTAAATAATTATGATCTTTTGCACTTACAAGATAAACATTTTATTTTGTTTTCCATGAATTATCTTAATACAGAACTTTGGTGAATTCTAATAAGCAATTTATTATTTACAGCTTATATTAGTCATTCTTTACTTCACTTTCATTCATATTCAATTGTTTATACATGTATAAAATTATAAATAAATAACCTATACTGTATATAACTCTATTTTTATTTTTATAGCATGTCAAAAATTTTGAGATGTGCCAGTAATGACGACATCATTACAATCAAAGCTCAAGACGATGCTGATTCAGTCACTTTTATCTTTGAAGCATCAAGTAAATTTCTAAATATTTATTTAATTTTCATTTTTTACAATTGAATTTAAATCAAAAATTTTAATTGCATTAGATCAGGAAAAAGTGTCTGATTATGAAATGAAGTTGATGAATATAGATACAGAACACTTGGGAATTCCTGTAAGCAAAATAGGTAAGATTGAAGCTCTGAATGATCAATTTGGCACCCAAGAATTGTAGAACTCCCATACAAGCAAAAGAGCCGAAGGAACCATACATGTACATGTAACTTTTTGCAAGATATCTTCCTTCCAAAAATCAGTTTTTAACATGTATCAGTATATTGCCTATTCTCCATGCTTTGCATTGCCATGGCATGCTATCACTTGCCATGACTGATGCTCTGCATGTAGTTGTGCTTCAGTACAACAGCGAGCACCTCAGTGCCTAAGTGGGGTGAGCCCCACACCATCTCTAAAACTATATAACATCAAGTACTCCATGAACAGTCAAGTGGGCTACTCAAAGCCAGCATAGTCACATGGGCTAAATAATTAAACACAATGGTTGTAGCAGAGTAACACAACTTGTGATCTTATTGCATGCCCTGATTTCCAGGACTATCACATGAAGGGTCGCATGTAGAGGTATGGTTACTTTGACTATTTTGCTCCTACAAGTGTGCTCTACAACTCTGATAAGGTCCCAACTATCTCATTCAGAACTTGAATTGTACCGCAAAATATATTCACTAATAAGACAAAAAAGATTTTGTCAATTATTTAATTAATGCTTCTCTTTATAGGATACAGAATATAGTGTAACTATAGATATGCCATCTGTAGAATTTCAAAGAATCTGTAGAGATTTAAGCCAGATTGGTGATTCAGTAACAATTAGTTGTACAAAGGATGGAGTAAAATTTTCAGCCAGTGGTGATTTGGGTTCTGGTAAGTATAAATGCTTATGTGAAAATTAATTAAACAGATTTAAGCAATATTTTTATTATATTTGTAAATATATAGGAAATATCAAATTATCTCAAACTGCAAATGTGGATAAAGAGGAGGAAGCTGTAATTATTAATATGCAGGAACCAGTTTCTTTAACTTTTGCATTGAGATATTTGATCTCATTTACAAAAGCCACACCACTTTCCAATAAAGTACAGTTGAATATTTCAGCTGATGTTCCATTAGGTAAGTTTAATTAATTATTACATGTTTAATTACTACATTGTAGCCCCAATAAAACATGGCCTGATATAACAACAATTGTTTATAGTGCAACTCTCAATTTTACATCTTTCATTTCATAAAAATACAGTAGATTCTTTTTAGTGTCAAGCCTTGTGGGACCATATATAAGGGTTGATGTTAACCAATAATTGAACTTAATGAGTATTATATAATTTTAGGCTTAAAGAAATTACAATATCTATGCAGTATAATTTTCTATTTCACTAAACATTTAATTGCAAGACTATAAATTTTTCTAAATCTTGTACATTTCATCCAATTGAGAATATGAAAAATTATCAGAAATTTCAATTATTTTTTGCTTGATTTCCAAAACAATATTTATTAATTTACATTTTGGCAGTTTAATACACCTGTACAATATTAGAATGTTACTTTCATATATTGTGCATATAGCTATATGAAACTTTAAACCTCCTGAAAAAGTTTTGAAATGTTGAATACATTTGATTATATTTAGTTGCAAGTTAATGAAGGCAATGATTCTGAAATCATACTGAAGAAAATTTTTAAAGTCCTTTGTAAAATGTTCTGACATTAAGCAGAAGGGATGTTAGCATTAATTGAATTTAGTACACTATGAATATACTTCAAACTAGAAATGGTAAGAGTTTAACTAGATTTCAACTTAAATGGAGTTCAGTTTACACTAAAGTCTAGGTTTGTTCGGATTGGGATTATTAAAAACTGGCGATAGTAACAATAATTCACTGTTTATTTAAAAAATTATTACATGTTCGTAATAATTATCTTCAGCCTTATTATTCCTGTGTAAACATGGGATTGCTGACACCTGCTTAATTATGTCAAACTTTCTAATTGGTAAACAAATTGCACAATAGTCATAAGTAGGCAGACCATAAATATTTTTTATTTTCCATATACAGTAGAGCATCGTTTATCTGAAAGAATTCCAGTTTGCAAATTTAAATTTTCACTAGTGCTGTGGTGCTGCAATCTTTGGCTATGTTTTGGGCTACTCCAATATTTTTTATGTTTGTATATTTGTTTTAGCTGGTAGCACTGGCACTTTTGTTTGGTGTTTTTCTGAGGACTGTGTGTCATGCTTAATAGAACGTTTTTGATACTAGATTAATTTCTAAAGTATAATTTTTTTTTGTTTTTATATTTTTCAACATATTTATTTTGTTTGTAAAAAATAAAGAAATAATTTTTAACAATACAATAGCCACAACTATTATTTTAAAAACTTTACATTAAGCTTAACATCAACGAAAATTCAACGCGAAACAACACGTTATAGAGAAAAATTTCAACATAGGATAGATTAATATATTTTTCGTACATAATTGGTTATCCGAAAAATAAGTTATCCAAACAACCTCAGTCTCCAATTGATTTGGATAAACAATGTTCTACAAAAAATAGGCCTGTTTTTGAAATTTTTAAATGATATGTCAAATACTGTAAGTTATATTTAATCCTATGTCAAATACAGCTGACATTGTTTTGGCACTACTCTGTAGATAGATGCTAAAATTACATTTGTCTATGGCCAGATGTACTGTACTTCTTGTTGTTAATCCTATACCTTTATTAAATGTAGGACTGGCCAGAACCACTAGGTTATGGTTGGGGTGAACACCACCATCCAGTATTCTATGCATTTGTGACCATAGTTGTATCCAGACTGCCTGTCACTTTAGTGATCTGAGAAAAATCAGTGTGTTCAGCAACTGTCTCAATGCATTTTTTCTCACTTATTACAACAAAATATATAAACGGGATTTTGGTAACAGACTTGCTTACAGTGCAGACCAAAAGTTTCAAACTCCATCACCCTGTTATGGATAGCCAAGGGAATTAAAGCATCAATCCCAAGGAACCTAAGATTGAATCCAAGGAAGCAACTACAGGAATTTTTAGTGCCCACCAATGGCCAAGTGGTCTTCATACCCTGAACACTGGGAGTTTGGTCATAGGTTCACACCTCATTCAGACGGGCTGGCCAAGTGGAGTTTTGTAGGTTTTCTGCATGTCTATAATGCCTAAATAGGGGCCAGTTCCCTTAAAAACACCTCCCGGAAGGCATCCCCTCTAGGCAGATTGACCAAGTGTTGCATTGCCATAACTTAACAAACAACATACAACCAAGAGTTTTTGAGAAAATCTGTTCAATATGTAGGACCCTGATGAGAACTGAAGGTCCTAGTGTCCTTCAGGTCTAGGTATGATGGATATGACTAAAAGTTCTCTTATTGCCTATAGGGCAAGAGGAGTTAAAGGAAAAACTCTTGTGTTATTTTGGGACTACAATGTATTTGAAAGATTCTTTTTTCCTTTTTAATGTATAACTTTTCTTTTTACAGTTGTGGAATACAAAATTGAAGATAAAGGTTTTATAAGATATTATTTAGCACCAAAAATTGAAGATGCAGATGATTAATTATTGGCATCAACATATTGTACAAACATAACTCTTAAAATGCTTTTTATGTAATGAATCAATATTTCTTTAAAAGAAATTTTTATATTTATGCATTTTCAGAAAATTATTCCTATATCAAAATTTAATGTTTAATATTTTAATGTTTAAAAATTATCATAAATGATATAAAAATTTTATTTTACTTTGAAAAACAATGAAATCTAAGAAGATTTTGCATGAATCCAGGTTTTAAAATAATTAACTGGATCAAATATTTATATAATTTCCAGAAATAAATGAAAACATTTTTTATTTTTCTATTCAGTTTGGTAATCATGAATAAATGCATTTCACAAATTGATATGTACAAATTTCATTTTTGTGCTATTTAAGTCCTATTACTGTACATAAATCTTAGCTGAAGAACTACCAGATTCACCATATTCATTAATAAAAATTCGTATAATACTAAAAAAAAACAAATTCTTAAACAGAAAACTTACCGTGCACCTTATTTATGAAACATTTTTAGATCTATCTTGTATATTAAGATGTAAAAGAACCTTATACTAAACAATATCAATACTATAACTGGAGTAAAATACATTTAATAGTTTAAATTCATAATTATATGTATATATGTTGTCTCCATTGCAGGCAGTTGTGTTGGGAGGTATTGTTTGGGCAATGTATTGACAGAATCTGGGAGAAAAACTGTTTATTTCCTTCATTTGTTAAAAAGATTGCAGATCTATTCACTTCCAAGACATGACAACGAATCCCGAAAGACATTTGCATCCTGATTTTAAGACTCAATTGCTTAATGAACTTGTATCATGATACTAGCAACAAGTGTTGTTTTACAAAGAACAAGGGAATTATTAGTTTCAAGCATATTTGAGTATTTTCTTTCATTTGGAAAAAGATTCGGAGTAGGAGTACACCTTACATTTGGGTAAATAAGATATATATTATATATTTGAAAGAACAACAAGTATATTAACTTTTATTTTAACTTGGTTAAACCCACCTCCATCAATTAGAAACTGCATTGCATGTCATTGGCTCACAGAAAATAGTTCTTTGTTATTTATAAAATCATTAATGAAATACTGTATTGGTCACTTAGCAATGATTATAAATGTAGTTACAGTATTTCCTATTTGTTAAATTGGTGTTTATAATGAATATTTGAACATTCTGAATCATTAAAAATAAACTTTTCAGGTAATGCGCATTATAATGTGTTGGTTTTGTTGTCCATTGCAATAATTATAGTTACTCCAAACTTTGTGTATCCTCAAATTACAAAAAATGTAAATACAATTAAGCATCGACAAGGAGAACTGCCGAGGAGCTCGGATAAACGAATAGTGTTAAATGTGTTTAAGTGTACCGATTGCAGCCACGACTTCCTCAGGAGGATTAAAATGGCATGGAACATGTGCAGATACAGTTCACAAATAGGCTATATTAGCCTATGCTAATCCACGTGTTCTCTAAAATTTATTCATCAAAACACAGATCTACGTATTACAATACACTAACTATTCTTTATAAACTTAATACATGATACAATAAATAACTTAAATGATCAATATATTAAACAATTAGTTCACAATTTTGAATAACGTAATTAAAATGAATATTTTTCATCTATGGAAACTGAAATTCCTATGTGGTTGTTATATAATTTAGGATCAGTTTCGTTTCACACGCTCTTCTTTATATCCTATCAAACTTAGATGTTTTTAAGTAAAATTTATCTATAATATTTATGTTTTCCTTATATAAAATCCAGATAAACAAGTTATTATACCAAAAGATCGGAAAATAAACAACTTAAACTCTTGTTTATTCTTAATTTGTGTTTTATGTCTAAGAATCTTCGTCTTTCGAATTGTTTGCCCATTTAAATTCGTTGGTGCTTTGCAGTTTATTTATCTTTTCGCTCATTTTGAATAAATCTTTTTTCAATCTGAAAGAAAAAAATTCCTTAGTAAATGTATTTGTTACGGCGAGTACAAAATTTATATTTTACTTTGTTTTCTGTTCGACGATCTGATCGAGATTCGTGGCCAATTCCTTCACTATTCTGGCTAGCTGTCAACGATTTTGAATTTTATATTAAGTTACATCTATGACTCAATTTTGGGTATTTTATTTGGCATACGTACTTTCGATACCTGTCTCTTCTTTTCTGTTAAATTTATCACTTTTTCATTCTGTAAAGATATGAAAATTATTTTAGTGAACTTCAACATTTGTTCTCATACATTCTTTTCAATGTGTAGGCATTAAGTTTTTTTGTTTTTTTTTCTATCATACTTCATGGATTTGCAGTAGACACGAGATGGTTCTCGTGTCTACTGAAAATCCATATCATACATATCAGAATTCTTAGGCTAAATAATTCAAAGAGATTCCTAATATTGGACGGAGTCACGGTCATCTATGTAAAATACTTGAAGATTCGGTCCATATACAAAAGTGGAGTCCATAGTTATTTTTGGTAATATCAAAGTTTAGATACAGAGATGATGAGGCTCACGCGGCACATTCGATTTCAAAGTGCACGCGACATATTGGGTGCTATGTGCTGGCCCCAACAATGGTCGAGTGGATAAAACCATCGAACTCTGGTAGTCGGTCACGGGTTTGCGAGTTTCTTCAAGTGTCTAGCTTCAAAACGGGCAGTTTTCGGCAGAAAGTCTACCCGTGAGGCATTCCCCCGTTGACAGATCGCCAACGAATTGCATTACCTTATCCGAATAATCTTAAAGTGTTACTTAAGGTTCCTATGGCCTTTGCATTTCAAAACTTTAATATTGCCAAAAGTATTTAAGACTATGCTCCTAGTTTCTTGAAATGGCAGCCTTTAGCTATTTTGGTTAATATATATCAAACTTATAATTAGCAACTTAGTCAATTAGCTAAAAATTGTGATTTAACTTTCATGATTACTCCCAATCAAAATATTGCAACACCCTCTATATTATAAATTTTTTCCATTTCTGACTCTGCTCTGCGGGCACTAACAGTGTCCGAGTTTTTCTCATACTCCCAGGTTTAGCAATATTACATTTAACTAAATTATGCTAAAATTAGAGGAAAATTAGAATATTATATTCAAAACTCTCTAAACATTATTACCTATCTCTAATTAGTTTAAATATGGGTGACAACCATAAATGCCACTCACCATTTCTGTCATGGATTGCCACAGTTGTGTTCGAACTAACTGCAACGCCTCGTCGACGCTCTTATCGGTTTCCCCTTTACTGAAACTATAATTTTAAGCCAACAGCGACCAAAACTAATTGCATTACTTTAATACCTTACCTAATTTCTTGAACGGTATTATCCAAAACACTTAACACGATTTCCAAATTTGTCAGATCCGATAATTTCTTATTTAAGTTTTTCCCACTCCAAAATTTTGTTCTTTTCAGAGATTCTGGAAAATACAAATAGTAATTAAATTATGTTATTCATCCGTTAGGATACGAATACACTATGAAATACACTGAATTATTGTTTTGTATGGTTGCTTCTGTCTTAAATTTGTGGTTGTTGCACCGCAATTGTCTGTTTTAGTGAATGTAAATGTCTCCCTTACTTTATTTTACATTCATAAAAGATAACCCTTTGTGCTCGTAACACGAAAAACTAACCAGCTCATAGCTTATGATTTGTCAGTGCCTCATGCTCTCAAATCAATCAAAATCTGTACTAAGCTACAATCATATTCCTTAACACTAATAATAATTTCTAGTATTGTTATTTTCATTTTACTAATTAAAATTCAACTCTAACCTGTTAAAATATGAGAATCTCTTCGCAATTTCCTATCTTGTGTATTCTGTAATCTCTTAGGATTTTGCCTCTTCACTCTGAAGTTTGTAGACTTTCCAAATTGAAAAATCGAAGTAAAAATTATTGTATTTACAAACTCAAACACCAAAATGTATAGATAAATACTCACAAAATTGTATGAATTTCTATTTTTTGAAATACTCTTAATGTCCGAATTCTTATTTTGATACAGGAGAGATTTGCTTCTGGTTAAATATGAATATCCACTTCTTTGCTTTCCTGTATCTTCTCCTTGTTTATAGTCGATACTCTCATCTCTTTGCTCACTTGTAACAATTTTATTCACTCGATTATGTGACATAGATGATCGTTGCTCTTTATCATCCTGTTTAGGATCCAAATTCACTACCTTAACTATTGAATCTGTTGTTTCTTGTTCTTGTTTAATTATGTCTGTATCAATTTTGTTACATGGTGTTGTCGTCGAAGTATTCCTGAAATTCGGAGCCTCTTCCATTTTGCTTTCACGAAAAATCCGAGGAACTTTATACCCATTCTGATGATCGTCCAAAGAGCTTGTGCCTATAAAACAGATATTTTTTAATCTAAATTAATTAATATTAACAATTACAACTAGTAAAATCCTTACATATTTTTGATTTTTCAGATTGCTACAATTAAAAAGAAACGTAAATTAATTCGTAAGTTGCACGACTGCAAATAATGCCAAAAAATACTTTACTTCGTGCTTGTTCAAGTCGTTTATTTCCCTTAACGCCACTCGTTGGTGGTCATGCGATGTGTATTTGGTCGATACAATTTCGGCACTTGCACTTTCAATGGGACTAGGCCAAATACACTCACCCATCTGGTTCCAAATTGCAGTCTTTTCTAGTATGGATGAACTCTGTTTAGGAGTACTCGCCAAAGAAGCTGAAAGGAATAATTTTGTTAATCATAAGGTGAAATGTTATGACCTTTATTAAAGGTTAACTATAAAATGATAGGAGAGTCCTTTCACTTTATAGTTTAAGTCTTTAAGGTGCAGTTACCTCTATTAGAAGCTTCATCTATGAAGACAAATTCCCTCAACAGATTTCGGTTTACTTCATTTTGCTTTCCCAAAGTCAAAGGACACTTTGGAGTTCCTAACGTTTCTTCATTGCCATTTAATTGCTCTAAATGAAAATTTTTGATTTTTAATTATACAAAATATTTTAAACAATACCTGCTTTTTTTCCATTGCTATTGAAGATATACGGGGTAGCCCAAACATGAGTTATCTATCATATTCCGAGTACAATTGCAAATATGAATTGTAAACAAGAGTTTTAGAGCATTCGTTTTTAAAATTCATAAAGTAATAATGCAACAGGTTAGTTCGTACAATGGTTAACTGATTTTCGGGTTACCTCGGTACAAATCTTTACCTCTTTTTCTTTTAGTCCCTGGTTTTCTTTGGATATTTTGCTGAAATATATTCAAAATTTCAGACGAAATATTAAAAATTAACTCAAATTTCCATACTTACTTCATCGATAAAATTTTCCAGGGAAACATTTAAATTGAAAGTTCGTTTTTCAGGTTCTTTACTAAAATATATAATAAAACTTTATGTAAATTGCAGATTTTATAAAGATAATTTTTTTCTAATTATTATCGTCAATTAAATATTTTTTTTTCTCATTTTAAATCATCGCCATTCATCATTTTATGATATACAGTACACTATTCGTGATTAGTATCATACGATAGTTCAGTGTGTATCACAAATGTGGATCCAATATCCTCCTTTCTATTCATTACGGAGGTTATGGCACCCCGTATAGGGTCTCTTCAATATCCAAACTTAACAAGTTTGCTTAGGTGCTGGCAGGTGCACCGAATCAAATTTGACAGAGCATTTGGCAATCGGAGACCTAAAATCGACCATAGAATTCTTATGAATCCATTCATCAACATGGAAGATTTGTCTAGAAGAACATAAGAATAATTAAAATTTGTACAAAGAAGGGGCAGGGAGATAACTTCTAATTAGTATGCCTAGGACCTTCATTGATTAATACTCATCTTTTTAAGATGAGTATTAATCAAGTGTGGATTCCCTGTGAGCCCCTAAGAGTGCGGGGCCCTGTGATACTGCACAAGTCTATACGAAGCATGAACTGTATTCAAAATATAATTCTTAGCATCTAGTGACACTTAATCTGCACTTAAGTGTTGATTTATATCTAAAATATACGAAATAAACTTACGATAAATTTAGTATCAATTTCTTACGGCTTTCGTAAGTTTTCATCTTTCTATTGGGAACAAAAACGGAACTCGATTTCCTCTTCCTGCCTTTACTTCAGCTGTTTATTGCTGCAGCTCCAAACGGGATGAGGAATTTTCAGGTTTTTTTTTGGCTATAAATTTTAATCACGAGTTTTTTAAAATGCATAAAGATAATTAAATGGGGATTTTTGTGCATCAAAAATAAAATGAAAAAAACTATCGAATTTCATGTCTATTTTAAAAACAAATCGCCGAAAATTCATTTTCAAATTTTCTTTAGTTGCCAGAAGGGAATCACGGTGGCCCCTAAAAACAACTACTGTAAATTATTCATTCAATTGCATTTCTTGTGTATTAAGAAAAGCTCTGTATTGCTGGGGTCTCAAAAACTCAACTGGGTCCGGTCTCGCCATCTCAGACGCTTCGGTTTCAAGTTCAGTCCAAGTTAGCTAAAGTTCTTTGTGGCCATTCTAAAGAAAAGGAAGACTCTAGCTACATTCTCAGTGGATCCTATACGACGTGGCCTCTTCTTCCTATTTACTATGGAGACTGGTCTCTCCTCGTGCAGTCATCAACGTGTGACAATTTGCTTTGGGACAACTCAGAGCTACAGGATGAACAGAAATTTATATAATCAATAACATGCTTCAGAAATCGTTGTAATTGAAGAATCTGAAAGATAATTGATATAAGTCTTCAGTAATCGTTACGTTTGCATTTTCATAAAGCCCATCGTGGGTTAGGCAGCGCCGGCTGTCTCCTGTGCTACGTTTACTACTTTAATATTGACCACTTCTATGAGGACTTTCCCGCATTCAGGAAAAGTCTGCTTCGAGAGTAAGATTTTTGGCACCTCATGGAAGTGTTTTCGTGACGAAGCAATATGGCCGCGCACGTGGAAAACATAGAAAACGTGCAGTTTGTATAGGATGACGTGTTTTTTTTTTTACTTTTGTACAGACAAAATCAATTACATTTTGAAAAGTTAGCTGAAATTATTTTTGTTTCATATATTACCTCGCAAGGAGAAAATGGATAAATTCAGAAATTTAAATCTGTTTATCTTTAATTTTCCTGATAAAGAATTTTTCTGTTCGTTATGAGAATGTTTGAAAGATTATGCTACGTAGAATGCTTCTGTATGTAACTATGCGTCTCATTAATAAAATAGTTCATCAGCTATTTGTTTCTTGTTTTCCGCAGCATCTCTCCTTTCACATTTCGTCCATTGTCACAATCTTCATCAGCATCTTCCTGTTGCACATCTTTCTCCATATCGGGACTTTCGTCACTTTGTAAAACGTAATTATTGTGTAAAAAATAGCTGGGTACCACGATCACGTGCACATATTTCACATTGAATATGTGAAGCGATTTCACTCTCCAAAATCATCAAAATACTTACTCGATAATTACGTGTTGAGCCTAATCGTTTGTTGAAGTGTTTTTGCTTCATAGATTCATCCCGCAAAATAATTCATATCCTCCAGCGATCCCTTAATTGTACTGACGAATAATACACTATATGAGGAGTACCCAATGTTATGTATTTAATAAACAGTACTCGATTTAATGGTCCTAACATTACATAACATTTTTGTAAACATCCCGCTTTGTTTGGCAAAAGTTAAGTGATCTGCTATTAACAATATATAATGGTACTATGTAAAAACTATTTTGCTAATAGTGCCAATTTTTGTCATTCGCCAAAATAAAGTCTCACAAAAGAGCGGGTTGCAAACTTGCTTGGTGAAGCCGGGAAAGTTATGCAACTCGTTAATAAATATTTTTGTGAGCAATCTGTTCTAGATATTTCGATTTCCTGTTCGATAAAATTTGGTTAAAATTATGATTATGTTTAGAGTTAGTGTAAAGGATTTAAACAATTATTTTCAACATTCCTTAGCACGTAATAATTGACGTAATAATTCAACAATAGAAGATGCAAATTAGATGCAGAAAAAAGTACGAAGGGAGTAAGATGCGTTACGTCAAAGAAGTTTTATACAGGTAAATACAGTAACTTTGACATTGAATTGTTATATATATATATATAAGAAGAAAATAATTAAATTTAAGAAAAATGCACTTAAATGTGGTCGATTTTGATTATTGCAAACACCGAGAAGGTACCGATACTTCCCTAGAATCTTAATAGGCAAATTAGCTGATGCGTGATGTAGCTCAAACGAAATCAAAATTAATTCAGGTAAAGACTAAAACGTTTAAACTAATATTTTAAAATTCGTTGGTATGGATTCCAAAGCTTAGTATTGACACTAAAATTGATTTAATAGGTGTAAAATTATGAACACAACAAATCGAGGACACCAGTTAGAATGGTGTCCTCGAGGATCAAGAAAGTGCTTTATAATTCTGAAATGTATGAAAATATTACAGACGTAACGGCCCGTACATGGAAGGAAACGTTTGTTTTGAGTCAAAGGTAAGAAAATTGATAAGGATGTGGAGAAGCAAAATTTTGTAATAGTCCATGGACGAGGATCACTACAAGAAGCGAATGGATAGTATTGTAGCTTGATGATCCATTTAAGAGCGTACCAAAGTCAACTTTCTATGAAAATTTGACTCCTGAAAATTGAATTTTCTAACCCAGTTTCCAAGAAATCTTGTAGATAGGTAATAAGCGAAGTATGAATGTTATCAATGCACCATTGATGTTTCTTAGATGAAGTATCACATGTCATACTTCGCCTATGAGGTACAGTACGTGCTTCATATGTGAAGTAGGCTATTACATCCAAACTATGCCAAATACATGTCACTTAACCATTCATTTATAACAATAGCCGAAACAGTACTATCATAGATCAGACTATTCGATTTGATACGATGGGTCGCCAGTACAAGCATGGTTCCTTTGACTTTTTTGTTCCTATCGATATTCTCTACAGGTCTATTAAAGTCCCAATCGCGTCATTCGGTCCTAGAACTGGTACCATTGGGGAATCAAGTAAACGTTGTTTACTTTCTAAATATTTCTCCTTTTCTTTAAAATATAATTATAAATGAACAATTTGTTTTGTAAATATCGCCACATTTTGATATTTTTAAGGGGCGTATATTAATTTACAGGTCGTTGCTGTATTATAAATTGATCCTTCGGTAGTGACGCAATATTGATCCATTTACAGCGCGTTAATCTAGTGGGCTACGTGAATCTTTACGCGATTTTCTGTATATTGCATAATTAATAATTTATGCAAATCTCCTTCTATATCCACATTTATGAAGTTATAATTAGCTTTTAACGAATATTTAATTATTCGTGAGAATTGTTGAGACTGTCCTACAGATGGAACGAAGTCATTCTTGTGGGGTTTTTGTGTGTGTGTGTGTGTAAATTTGAGGTTCTTCGGATAAAGTAAAGATTTTCTGGAGAATTTAACATTAGTATGCATCTATTCAAACAACGACGTTACCTGTTTACGCCAATACAGTAGTGAAACCAAACGCAACACGATTTACTAGTAACATACTTGACGATTTTTCTGTGCCATTTGAATTGGCTGTTTTCAATCCAACCCGCAACAACCCAAAGTATTGCAAGTTATCCCGGTATAGGGGAATCTTGCAACATCCCTATAAACTCGTTGCGATGTCCTAAGGTTGCCGAGAAAGCTAGAATGAAAACTACTGATTCAGATTCGTGAAGAGAGAATAAAGTCATCATCAAATTTTAACTAACTATGCACCTATTTACTGCAGTATTTTGCAGAAAAATCTATCTTGCATCAAAAATTAGTGATTTTTTACATACTTTCTGCAAGTGGTAATTGGTTCTGCAATTGGAACGATTTGCTTTCTTGTACCGCCCTTAAAAGTATGATTTAATTTTCCTGTTTCAGGTTATAAGAAACCCATCAGTAATTTGTGTGAGTAAATTTCTTCTTAGAGAAAAGAAACTTCGTATTTTTGGTAACGGATCGTGTTTAAGTAATAAAAGAATTTGAAGAGATTAAATTGAATAGTGCTTTTAGAAATTAACCTTTCGAGCCGTATTTCTCGTACGCATTTGGCAATAAATTCGAAGATACGTGGACTGATTTAGTTCCTCTATTAAATATTTGTAGAATTAAAGTTTGTTTTGATTATTATTAGCTTTTTCTTAGCTGTACTGTATTACCAGTCGACCCCCCCTATAACACCGTTGATTATTCCGTTTTATATGAATTCCATGTTGTAAGAGTCACTTAGATTTTACAAATGTGTTCCTGGCTGTGGACGGCTCAGGTATTCGTGAAATCTAAGTTACTCGTACAACATGGAATTCATATAAAACGGAATAATCAACAGTGTTATAGGGAGGTCAACTGTATTTAGTGTTAAGTTCCTTGCAATATTGCAAAAATGTCTGCGTGCAGGTATTGAGGGATTGGGAAATCAAGGGAAGAGTACGTATTGAGGAATTGGGAGGTCGAGCAAAGTGCAGAAAATAGTAGCTAAGATAATATCTAATGTATTTAGGATACTTTGATTAATAAAAGTAAACAATTCTATATTGTATAAATAATTTTAAAGTCTAAAGTTTTAAATGGAAACATTGAATTCCTTATATTATTCCCAAAAAATTCTAATTTATATACAGACTTCCATTTTAATTCTTAGAGAATATATAAAATGCTTTTCGAACCACATCAGTTCGTCGTTGGGAGGTCGAGGATACTTGCGATAAATTAATGCTATGAATACTTGTAGAATTGATTTACATCTTCCGTTCATGGACTAACACGAAGATTACGAGCATAATTAGAAGTCTCTCCGAGAGACCTTTGTCTTCAGTAGAAAGAGAATATTTAATGACAGTATCAAATTTAATTGAAATATTTATTAAAACCTTACAAATGCTCATTGACAAAAAGTTATGCACCGAAGAGAGTGATAAAATGAAACAAAACCTTCTTAGTACCATCGTCATTAAGTTCTCACTAAGTGATTATAATATCATTGCAAAAGGTCAGTTTCCTGTGCAACAATTTAAAGAAACGTTTAATACCTTGTAAGACTTCTTGTCTGGATATGTGCAGCAATACGATCGGGAATGGACGCATATGGGCATTTATGCTATTCTGCCGTACAGTTGATCACAATATTCTATAGAACGAAGCCAGATGGTTTCACAAATGCTTAACGGATGCAAATCTGGAGACGGGAAACACCAAGAAATTACATGACAGCCATTCCTGGGAAACCCTAGCTGTGTATGGCTGTCCGTTATATTGCCGAAACACGGCTGTTTGCAGCTGTCACTAAAGGCAAAACACAAAGATACAGGATTTCCTGAACCACTGCTGTCACTGCCCTCACACCATTACTAAGTAGTAAGAGATAGTTCTCCAGACTGGCATTCTAGCAGTGCTGCTCGACAATAAAAACAGGATTGGAGAGCTTATCAGTGGACATAACACAGTGGTCTTCCATTACCAAACATAACTGGAATTTGTCACTAAAGATATGTGCTTCAAGTCCATAGCAGTCAATGCTTTTGTCACTGCACCAATGCAAACGAAGCTGACAATGTTGGGGTGCTAATAGCAGGATGCACAGCAGTCACCATGCATGCAAATTTGCTTCTGCTAGTTGCCTGCCAATAGCACGGGAAGACAGGATTCTGTAGTGAGGTTTCCAACTGTCTCTGTGGACAAAGATGTCATTGTACTGTACATGCTTATCTCACTATCAGACAATTCTTTCTCCTGTGGTCTCTTGGAGATTGAGCCTGCCTGCCATGTACATGTGCTTGAACAAAGCCTTGGCACCAACACCACCTAACAGTTGGGTCGGAACAACTCGGGTGATGGCAATTTGGTAAAATGGCCATCTTGCTTCTTTCGGCCCAATGGTGCAGCTATTCTCAAATTCCTTCAGCTGTGTGCAATATCATTGACTGCATCACATAGGCATACTTGGTGTTAAAAGACCTCTAAACAGCAGGTACACTGAAAATTCTGTATATGGTGAGCCTCTGTAGCCTTTTTACAGGATACTTGAGTAGTGATTTTAAGATACTGATGGCATTGACCACAATTGTAATGATTTACATGCCTGCCTGAGATATAACTATGTTGAATTTTCCAATATAATTCCAATACAATTCTATTTGGGTGTGTAACTTTTTGTCAAAGAGTATAATAGAGTCAAACCTTGAGGAAGGTCCACGTTTAGCATATATTTGTTTGATGAACATTGAGAAATTAGAGAATTTTCAAAAAAATGGAAAACAAATTACTTTTTAATATCATTTAGTATGATGTATACAATCTATACTGTTCATTGTTCCAAAAATTGATTTGATCTGTACTTATCTAATTGTTGGATAATGTGGATTATAATCAATTTAAAATGTTTAAAATGTCTAATTAAGTGGTTGATCGGTAATGAGAAAGCAATGTTTGCAATTGTCAGCAATAGTGTAACAGTGATGATTTTGTACATTTATTTGATGTAGCTTGAGAATTTTAAAGAAGACACATCAAAATAAAATAGTACAACTTTATTCTTAGGTGGCAATACCTTGACAATGGCAGCAAAACAAATTTCCCATCGACACTACAGGTGAAGCAGATGCACATAGTTTGGCCAAAAGAATCAATAATTAACTGTCCGTCCGTAGACGGGTAGAAAGACACATTGACAGCAGAAGTTTATTTAAAACGAAGGCGAACTTCTCTATAACCGAACGCTTGAAGCCGTATTAATACAAACACCTAAAAAGAATAATGGATGAACATGCCACCGCACACTTTCCAATACAAGAGCTAAACGGTCATCATCTAAATATGCCCCAACAAAATACAACTGCCGTACAATACGACTTGCTGGGTACGATAGGAAGTGTATGGTAAAATTACCCTCGTGTTTTAGAGCTATGCTTTGCAATAAGTTTTCCCCGTGACTAGCAGGTGTTTCCAGTCTTATTGGGATGTTAAGGCCCCAGAACAATTACTCGAGTTGTCGATTTATATATATATATTTTTTTCTCTGTCGGTGTGATGGAATGATGCACATGATCTGATGTTGAAATGGTCGAGAAATGCAGTAATTGTGTTCCCTAGTTTCAGAATTTAGAAAAAGTTCTTCACAGTATACATTGCTAAATGCTAAGAAACACAGTGACAAAATTAAAATTTTCTGTTCCATGTGAGTCAGTCGGCACAAAGTTTATCGTTCTGTCGATCCAGATGATGAGTGGTAGATAATATCTTACAAATCAGTTTAGTCTATAAATGTATGTTCTGATGACACAATCATACACTTCATATATGTTTGTTTCACTGTCACTATCATAAGATGAACATCCAGTAGTGAAAGATGATAGCTGGTTGTTCCTTATATACAACATGGTATTTATTTTTCTTTTCTCGTACCTTAATGACAATCACATGCACTGTACCACTGTTCTAAATATTCATTCGAATGTATTAATCTAATTGCAAAAACCCGACCACAAAGTGATGTATCAAACTGCATTCGTTCTAAGATCATTTTGTGTGAAAATATGACTCGACAGCACAGAGATATCTTTTATGATATACAAATTATTTTAGGATCCTTTTGCTAGTACAATTGATTAAACATAATAATGATGGTTCTTTTTAGTAAAATTTGGTGGTCCCAATGTTTCTTTTGTGAAGAGTGCAAAACCGCGGCCTTTGCAGTTTTTGTAGTATTTATTTTGTCTGCAAAATGACACACAGAATTCCGGTTACATTTTTCACAGATGGATTTGAACCAAGAAAAATGCTAAAATTATAATTTTTAATGGCAAGAAAGAAAATTTCTCTCTTGCAAATTTGAATAAAATTTACAGCAAACAGAAGCCAATTCGCATCATCATTTGCATTGCTAACTATTTCTAGCTAGTTCAAGAATGTTTATACTTCTGATAAGTGGAAAATTATGTCAATAAAAGTGCTAGATATTTACAAATTTTTATTTAAAAATATTTTAAAGGTAATTTCTAAAAAGTAAAAGTATATTTAAGAATAATATTTCTTCTAAATATTGTACCAAAGTATTTTTTGCAAGAATTAGTTCATTGGCTTCTTATGTGAGCATATAATTTTTGATATGTTGCCTTCATGAGTCAATAATTTAAGTAGCAACACTTACAAAACTAATATTTCTAACTTTTAAATGCATTTTTAAAATTGGAAAACTTGTAAGGAGATTGAAGACAAATTCATCCAACAAATTGGCTTCTGTTTTGAGAAACGCCCCTCTAAAGTTAAAGAACTGACTTTTTTGTGAACATTTAAAACACACTGTATTGGGGACCACCAAATAAAATAATCCATAGAAAAATCACTATCCCAATATCATTAACAAAATTAAATCCAAAAAAATTTAGGAAATTATTTCCTTAATTATCAACATAAATCTTTGGTTGTCCACATTCATAACATACATATATATAATTTTATATATATATAGTATATATATATATAAATTTATAATAAAAACATTCATTTTTAGCAAACCATGTAAATAATAATCAACAAAATCTTTTATCTTAAATAATTACACTCAAATCTATCTGTTTCCCTTGGATACATTTCCCCGACAGACATAACTTTCAATCTTCTCAACATAAACAAGAAAAAAAGAAATATCTAAAAACAATACATTGGTAATAATTTTTTTCTTTTTGGAATTTAAAACTGTGCACTGCACAATTCCACATTGATTCTGTCAAAAATAAAGATAGAAAATGAACAAAATATAACTGAAAGAAAAACAAAATTCTATAAAACGAAGTGGCAGTGATGATTCCAGTTACGTAAACATTTCCATGGTCATTCACACAAAAGTTTTTTGTATTTTGATAATGGATCGTATCATATGAATGCTAAAATTATCAGTGATTGGGCCAATATAGTTTGTCACGGTCATACAAAATCGGATGTGATGATTTCCATTTTTTTTATCTTTTTTTTTCCAAATGACAGACAAATATGAAAGAACCCTCTTCCCATCAGAAACACTTAGTTTAAAGCTCTCTCACTAATATCGTTTGACAGAATTTCTGACAATATATGATGATTTGTTGAAATTACTGAAATAAGAATAAGCTATCGTCAGAGTCGAAGTATATATCATGTTCAGTATGGAGTAAATTTATTATTTAGTATACTTACAGAATCATGTTATGAATCCAGCTTTGCAAGTTCACTGGTGTAGATCCCAATACTCTCCATATCATGGAGGACAAAGTAGATCTGCTTCAGAGAACTGGACATAACATTAACAAAATAGTTAGATATAGCTTTCAAAGCTGCTTGTGCTGCCTGCTGTTTAGGGAAACTTGCACTATAAAAATAAAATACAATGTTTTATTTCTTATTTTAATTATGTTAACATACAAAAAACACTTATTTGTCATACTTTCCGCTACTGAGCGAGGGAATGGCCAGCGATTTCAAATTCTTCTCGTCGGCAAGAGATAAGCTGTTTTTGACAGCTTTTTCAAATAATTCGTTAGCATTGGTACTGCCATAAGAGGGTATATTGCAGTGAATCACATATTTAGCTGGGAAATTATGTCCAGGACAAATAGCAGCTGTTGCGACAATTATTCATTAATACACAAGACAAATATGAACAAATATAAATAAGTTTTAATTTACCTCCAGCTGTATCTAAAGGACCATTTGATGCCAATAAATCTTTTACTTCTTGTTGAAACTCTTTTCCTCCTGCTTTTTCTAAAGCAGCACCTAAAAAAGTTAATTCAATTAATTTTTAATGAAATTTTAATTAATTAAAAATTATTTAGATGACAACAAACTAATATTAAGGTATGTAGACAATTAATAAATTATTTGGAAAGGTAAAGTTAAAGATCTATAAAACCTTATGAATTAAACATTAATAAGTGTTTGATCAATATTTTAAAATATGGACATTTGAAATACTGTTCTAAAGCATTTCTTGTAAGAATTTAGTGAACTGAAGAAGAGCAAAAAATATTTTTTTGATAAATAAGTTTGGTTACCTTAAGAAGCAGTCATTGGTCTCTGCCAGTTATTTACAATTTTGACAAAATAACACTTTGAAAATTCTTCTAGCATTTGTAACAAAATTAGTTGATTACACTTAAATTCAGTAGATAATCTCATCTCACCTGAATTCTTAACGTAGTATACTGGAGATCATATACCTGCTGTATGCCAGTAAGTATGCCTGCTTTTACCTAATCTCAAAGATGCCATTGACCAACAGGACTGTCAGAGCTTAGAGCCAAAGCAGAGTCCATTGTAGATAGCCTGATCTATGAAGTTTTGTCATCTCTGCTGTTGATTAGCATCCAAATGCAATTACGACAAATTACAGTTAGTTATCATGTTTACACTTCTGTGTAAATTTTGTTAATGATATCTGATTGCATTATATCAGGCTCCTGTATAACTTATAAATAAATTATGATGAATACAACCATATTTATTTCTTCAATATCCTTAGCATGTATGATTCAATATTTTTGAGATCAAAATGAAAAATTTTCTTAAATCCTAACACTTTTTGGAATTTTAGACCATCCTCAGACACCAAATCCATATTATGCTTCTATTGTCTAGTACTTTCAGATCTCTATGTAATATATCTCTGTAATCCAACAAATGGTAGACAGACTCACAGCAAATTTTCAGTTAGGAACTACAATTTTATTCTCAAAATTGACAAATGCATTTCATGTTGGCGCAGTACATCCCGACCCCTTCTCAGTGCTAATTTTTAAAAATAATAAAAAACAAAAATAGTCAGTTCATGACAACAAATATATCAACAGAAAAAATTTTTTCTGTTGGTATATTTGTTGTCATGAACTGACTATTTTTGTTTTTATTATTTTTAAAAATTAGCACTGAGGAGGGGTTGGGATGTACTGCGCCAACCTGAAATGCATTTGTCAATTTTGAGAATAAAATTGTAGTTCCTAACTGAAAATTTGCTGTGAGTCCGTCTACCATTTNGTTCTGTATTTTATTTATTAATGCATTTTTAATAATATATGGTTAATAAGAATCTATTTTAAGCTTACAAACAAATAAATTTTAGTTTTTAATATAGTACAGAAAAAAGTAATCTAAATTTACAAATTCATGTATGTACAGTACATACTTGTAAATGTACATGTTTACAATTTGGTAATGTTTACAGTACATTGCAGACTATTTGTGAATGTGGTTTGCTCTAAGACATTATAAAATAAGATGATTTTGTAAGGTTAAATAACAAATATAGTTATTAAAATCATCTTGAGACAGTAGAAAATAAACTAATTTATATTAAATTTACCAATATTGAGTGGCGCTGACAACGACGCCAAACGGTAGATATTGGAACTACCGTGGAAAACTCCAATATTGAGCACTTAAAGACTGCTAAATAAGACGACAACACAGTCACAGATGTTTTCATGTTTCGTTCTCTAGGATTTATGATGATTATATTAACATTTACTGTAAATGTACATATTTTAATACGATTTTATGTGCTTTAACGCTTTTCTACTGATATTATGACTTCAATATTTGTGGCAGACAGACATAAAGTTGAATAAAATGACTCAAACTTGATTTTTATTTTTCCATATATTTTTTTGACAAACGACGTATAATCAAGAATGACATAACTCAAGATATACCTGTATACAGTTCAATGACACTACCTGATGCTTAGAATAATGGATTTTTCTTTGAAGAAAGTCTATGTTCACAGGACTGAAAATTTGCAACAAAAGTGGCAAGATGTGATTGATATTGATACTGATTACCTACCAGACTGAATTGTAATTATTGTTGAGTTTTTCATAATGCCTTAATTTCACCTTTACTACCTGATAGTAAGTGCACTCTCTATTGGAAGAATGTCCTGTTGTAAACTGAAAAATTAACAATACTGAATAGAATATGCAGTCTTATTCTATATTGAAATAATACTACTATACAACACACACACACACACACACACTTTAATAATAAAATGAAAAAGTTATCAGGATTTATTTCATTAATAGTCTCTCTCTAATAGTAAGTGCATTCTGTTTATTAGAATAAATATGGTATATTTGAATTTAAAAGTTTTGGTTGAAAATCAGTTTAAAAAATAAAAATAATGGAGAAAAATTAAAAAAATCTACACTATAAAACTAATTTTTCTCCATTCTTGTTTTTATTTTTTAAACTGATTTTCAACCAAAACTTTTAAATTCAAATATACCATACTTATTCTAATAAACAGAATGCACTTACTATTAGAGAGAGACTATTAATGAAATAAATCCTGATAACTTTTTCATTTTATTATTAAAGTGTGTGTGTGTGTGTGTGTGTTGTATAGTAGTATTATTTCAATATAGAATAAGACTGCATATTCTATTCAGTATTGTTAATTTTTCAGTTTACAACAGGACATTCTTCCAATAGAGAGTGCACTTACTATCAGGTAGTAAAGGTGAAATTAAGGCATTATGAAAAACTCAACAATAATTACAATTCAGTCTGGTAGGTAATCAGTATCAATATCAATCACATCTTGCCACTTTTGTTGCAAATTTTCAGTCCTGTGAACATAGACTTTCTTCAAAGAAAAATCCATTATTCTAAGCATCAGGTAGTGTCATTGAACTGTATACAGGTATATCTTGAGTTATGTCATTCTTGATTATACGTCGTTTGTCAAAAAAATATATGGAAAAATAAAAATCAAGTTTGAGTCATTTTATTCAACTTTATGTCTGTCTGCCACAAATATTGAAGTCATAATATCAGTAGAAAAGCGTTAAAGCACATAAAATCGTATTAAAATATGTACATTTACAGTAAATGTTAATATAATCATCATAAATCCTAGAGAACGAAACATGAAAACATCTGTGACTGTGTTGTCGTCTTATTTAGCAGTCTTTAAGTGCTCAATATTGGAGTTTTCCACGGTAGTTCCAATATCTACCGTTTGGCGTCGTTGTCAGCGCCACTCAATATTGGTAAATTTAATATAAATTAGTTTATTTTCTACTGTCTCAAGATGATTTTAATAACTATATTTGTTATTTAACCTTACAAAATCATCTTATTTTATAATGTCTTAGAGCAAACCACATTCACAAATAGTCTGCAATGTACTGTAAACATTACCAAATTGTAAACATGTACATTTACAAGTATGTACTGTACATACATGAATTTGTAAATTTAGATTACTTTTTTCTGTACTATATTAAAAACTAAAATTTGTTTGTAAGCTTAAAATAGATTCTTATTAACAATATATTATTAAAAATGCATTTATAAATAAAATACAGAACTGGGAATGGTTATTTGTGGTTTAGCCTAGTGACAAGTAAATTTGGAGACAAGTAAATTCGACTTGCGTCATTTTTCGACTTAAGTCCTCTCCTGGAACCAATTACCAGCATAAGGCGAGGTATATCTGTATTGGCAATATGGTTCTGCAGAGTATGAGAATAGATGGTATTCAGTCAATGCCAAGTTTGGGCTGTAAGATGGATGAGGCAGAACTTCCTAGCACAGACTGAATGACTACTCTATGGTCATCTTTGCTCTATGTATTGATGTGTTGTGGTGGCAGTATCAAACTGTCAATTTTTGAACAAAGTTGTTTGGTCTTGGTGTTCAAATGTCCAGTTGTTCACAGTAAAGCAGCTACATCATGATGACATCAAACAGATCATTGCATTCTTTGATCACTTTTGGCACTTTGACATTTGCAACAGTTGGTTGACCTTTGTTCACTCATGAACACTTTAACAAAAGTTTTGCAAATGAGATTGTAAGCCTTTGTTGTGTTATGGCCACTTTTGAAGTGATACAGCAATAGCATGCAAATGTGTTCTTTACAAAAGTTTTGTATTGTCAGACATTGCTGATGCATCTATTTTCAATAAAATATGTGACAAAACCCTCTTTGTTACTCTACTTGTATACCCATATCAAACATTATAGAACAATTTTTTGTAGCCATTTCTAGAAAAAATCAAAATGTTTAAATTTCAGCTTTAAAACCTGATATTAGAAGGCACAGTCTATAATGTTTCTCATCTTACAACTGCATTGTTTGTTAGATGGCATTTACTATTAAGAAATACTGTTTATTAGAATAAATACNCTTTATGTCCGTCTGCCACAAATATTGAAGTCATAATATCACTAGAAAAGCGTTAAAGCACATAAAATCGTATTAAAATATGTACATTTACAGTAAATGTTAATATAATCATCATAAATCCTAGAGAACGAAACATGAAAACATCTGTGTTTCTGTGTTGTCGTCTTATTTAGCAGTCTTTAAGTGCTCAATATTGGTGTTTTTAGTGACAAGTAAATTCGACTTGCGTCATTTTTCGACTTAAGTCCTCTCCTGGAACCAATTACCAGCATAAGGCGAGGTATATCTGTATTGGCAATATGGTTCTGCAGAGTATGAGAATAGATGGTATTCAGTCAATGCCAAGTTTGGGCTGTAAGATGGATGAGGCAGAACTTCCTAGCACAGACTGAATGACTACTCTATGGTCATCTTTGCTCTATGTATTGATGTGTTGTGGTGGCAGTATCAAACTGTCAATTTTTGAACAAAGTTGTTTGGTCTTGGTGTTCAAATGTCCAGTTGTTCACAGTAAAGCAGCTACATCATGATGACATCAAACAGATCATTGCATTCTTTGATCACTTTTGGCACTTTGACATTTGCAACAGTTGGTTGACCTTTGTTCACTCATGAACACTTTAACAAAAGTTTTGCAAATGAGATTGTAAGCCTTTGTTGTGTTATGGCCACTTTTGAAGTGATACAGCAATAGCATGCAAATGTGTTCTTTACAAAAGTTTTGTATTGTCAGACATTGCTGATGCATCTATTTTCAATAAAATATGTGACAAAACCCTCTTTGTTACTCTACTTGTATACCCATATCAAACATTATAGAACAATTTTTTGTAGCCATTTCTAGAAAAAATCAAAATGTTTAAATTTCAGCTTTAAAACCTGATATTAGAAGGCACAGTCTATAATGTTTCTCATCTTACAACTGCATTGTTTGTTAGATGGCATTTACTATTAAGAAATACTGTTTATTAGAATAAATACAATTTGTTTTTTGCAACTTATGCCTTTACTTATTTATAATTAATTACTGGAATAAAAAAAAAATGAACATTTTTGACCACATTTATTGCCTATCTTCAGCTTCAAAGTATAGAATAGAACAAAAATGTGTGTAAATTTTAATGAATATATATTCAAGAAAATAGGCCTAGGCTGTAAACATTTAATTATTTCATTCAATGTTATGTGAAATATTTGGTTTAATTCCATTGAAACAAAACATATAAGACAATATTTAGAATATATATTATAAAAAATATATAATTTATTAATATATTATCTAAAATCTAAAAAATATTATAGAAAAAATTTAAGCACTCAGATTTGCATGTATCTTTATGAACACTTTGCAGTAATGTTGTGTTACAATCTTCTATGACATGTGACAAATGATCATTCTATTACAGGAAAATGAAAGATAAAGAAAAATTTTGTTTCTGTAACAATATGATCATTCATCACCTGTTACATTATAAAATGTTTTAACTGTGTATTCGTGAAGATGGATATGAATCCAAAATCACTTGAAAAAATGATGAAAAATATAAAGCATAAGTTCATCTGGTACATCACAGAAATAAGACTGGTGCTCTGTGAACTGTTTATCAATAGAAAGTTATTCTAAATTTTTAAATTTATATTCTTTTCATTAACAGACATACATAACTCATATACAAGATTCTCCAAAAAGAATGCTACATTTAAAATATGTTAATTGTACTCCAATTGATAGAGTAACTGTTTGAATTTCATCTACCACCTGCAAACATCTTTTTGTCTACTTCCTATAGAAAGTGCCATAAACAAAAATAAACTCCACGACAGAGAAAGTGTTTTGTGTTCTGCAGTCTGCAAAGGCCAAATCAGTTGCCACTATACAACAAGAACGTTTGCCTTACATGGTGGATCACTTTGAATTTGTAAAACTCAAAATCATCAAAAATCACATTGCACAATGTTTACAAGTTTGATTTAGTGAGACCATAAAACAATTACTCTACGTAGAGTCCTAAAAGCAGCAGACAAAAAGACATTTGTATGATACAATAGATGAAACTTGAACATTTACTCTATTGATTGATGTACATTGTGTACTTCTCAGGTAATAATTAACATAATGACAGTAATTGAAAATGGTAGCATTCTTTTTGGAAGACCCTGTAATAGTGTTCAGTATAACTGAGAAATCTCAAGAAACTGACAAATGGAGTCAGGAATAATATAGAACACCTTAAAACAAACATTTCTTCTTTGTTTTTATATATAAAAAACAATTTTGAATTAAAAAATCAGTATGAGTATCAATTGTGTAGTTTTTGGATACTTTAAAATGTATATAGCAAAGGTTCTTTACCAATTTCGCCTCCCATGTAAAACGATCCGTTAGTCGGATGGAGCACAGCATCTGCAGAAACACTGATTGCGTCCCCTTGAATGACAGTCAACTGTAAAAATAAATAAATTTATATTATTATAAAACAGTAATCTAGTAATTTATACACATTTAAATAAAATTATACAGTGATACTATAAGGTATGGCTTGTTGAAACTATGAGATGTTAATATATTTACAAACTTTTCTATTTCATGAAAATCAGTATCTATATGCATTTTAATTTAATCTTTAACTGAATTAACTGCTTAAAAATTCTGCTTGTTGGCTGAAAATGTATGAAAGTGCCAGAATATATTATAAAAAAGTGAGTCATAAGAAAGCCAAACAATTACTGGATTAAATTAGGCTGCATTCCCACTACTAATAATTTAGTAGTGAGATTTAATTTGGTAATCGTTTGGCTTTGATATGATCACCAGACTTTAAGATGTTTATATATGTGAGTCATAAGTAGTAACATGTACAAAAAATGAGTTGTCAAAAAACAAATGTCTGAAACATGAGGAACACCTGTATAAATTTTCCTGTAATGAAATACAAAAAATACACATTAATTTAAGGACACATTAATCTTTCAGGTTGGACCTTTTGGGTGTCGTGATTCTGTGAACTGATTTTTGTTAACCTTTTTTAAAATCTTGAGTGCTTGAAAATGAATAACTTTAATATAGACTAGTCATAAAAACCATAAAGTTATTTTTCCCTATTTAATTTGATATATAATAAATATTTGTTGATACAGATTTGATTATTCGTAATATAAATATAATGTACACAAATGCAAAGACCAATTTTTTTAGCCTTTATTTATAATTGCACCATTTGAAAAATGCACACTCAATTCTGATTGGGTAATTGTTTATTTACATTTGATTTATTGTTTTGTCCTTTGACAAAGATATATGATATGTGCAATAAAATTTTAGTTTTTTTGTTTTGTTCTGCGTATTTACCAGAATGGCACATAATTTACACACTATAAAAAAAGTGCATTCATCTGCAATAATTTTGTGTTTCTACTTATTTACTTATTTGTGTTTACATTTTAAAAGGACTAAACATTAAATTATTTAATAACAACAGTAATTAATAACTTCTATTTAACTAGAGAAACAATCAACTTAATCAAAATACCCAAACTCCAGCAGTAACATGTAATATTAGCACTAGAATGAACATTTTTGGAGTTCTTATGCTTTCACAGTACTAACTTCAATGAAAAAAATTGTTGGAAAAAGCTTTTTGACAACCTTTAGGAAAAAATTCAATAAAAGTTGCAAAATTGTGATATCTATTTCAAATTTCTATCTTAATTTTGTCAATAGATGGAGCTAGAAGCATACTAATGTGAGAAGTCAGGGACGCAGAACTAGGTCTATGCTTACTTGACATGCAATTGTAAGATTGGCTCACTGTTGTCTAAAGGATGGCTTATCTACTAAAAATATCAAGTGTAGAGGGACTTAAGTTGCTAGTAAAAAGGTGGAGACAATGATTTCACAATTGCGTCTCCTGTCAGGATTCCTGACACCAGCTAATCATATTTTAACGCTGATTAACACACGTAAGCGAGGAATTTTGAATAGGTGGAATGCAAGTACTTGGAGTAGACTGAGGCATGGATATAAGTCATCAAAGAGACCATATTTAAATAACATAACAAGAATATTTAATGGAACAAAAATATTAATAATATTACAACTAAAGGTGATTACAAAATAATATATATTGAACCTATTTAGAGAGAGAGAGAAAATTCAACCAACTAACATTAATCTATACCATGAGAGAGAGTTCACAAGAATCTAAATAGATCATACTACCTTCCTGGAGACATTTAGGAATTGTAACTTCAATGATTTCTCTATTTTACTATGATCGAACTATATGACAGTTTCTTCTTTTGATGCACTTAGGTATGTCATATGGTGAACTGCATTGAATAGTATGGAGAAACTCCTGAACAGTATGGCAAACTCGTCTACATTGTATGGAGAACTTGTTGAATATTATGGTGAATTCCGTCCTCTGAACTTCGTAGAACTGCCTATATCATATGGTAATCTCTTTCTATGGACTGCATAAAGTCTGTATGGTAACCTCTTCAATGGACTACCCTGAATGGTGGAAAAATGTCCCTTTTATATGAGTCAATGGTCTACAGCTGGCCAAGTCTCGTGTGTGACCGTTTCTGATTCAACTTACTAGTCATCGAAGAAAGAATTTGGCTGAAAGTTAAATAGTTAAGCTACCATCTTGTGCTAGGATTAATAACTGGAAGAATTTACTAAGTTCTAGAAGAAATGCTAGATCCAAAGTGGGACTCAACTCAGTTAATTTATGTGTAATGTGCAAATGTATCATCACACTTAAATTCTATAATCTGAGTGATTAATAATTAAGCTTATATCTAACCTAAAAATAATCCAACTTTATATATAATTGGATGTTAAAAATCAGGTTATGGTTTATATTTATGCTTGTAATGAAGTTTAAATCAAATAGTAAAAAGTATATTATGGAAATTTGTGTAAAGAAGAGTACTAAAATTTGTTGGATTCCTTGTACACATGTTCAATAATGTACTTTTTGTTAGTTGGTTCTAAATATTTTGAGGTTAATGCTAAACTATTATATATAAAAATAAGCAATTTATTAAGTTTACTTTGTTTATTTTCTTCAAATAGTTTATTGAGAGATTTAACATTTTCATTGACTTCTGAATATTAACTAAAAAAAGTTAATTCAGTAATTCAAATAGAAATCCATTTTTGAATTTGAAAAGGCTTCTAAATAATCATAAACTAAACTAAAACAAAACTAAATCAATGTGTTAAGTCTGCTTAAATTTTGCATTCCAATGTTGAAAGCCATAGAAAATCTGTAGTTTGTATGCTTTCTGATAGTAAAATGTATAAAGTTCTGAAAAATACTTAATAAATGTTAAATTGTAAATATTAAATTTAACAAGTGGTCTAAAGTATAGAAGTTAAACAGTCAAACTTACAGAAATCAGAATGTTTTAATATTTATATATATAAAAATGAAACCTCATTAATAATTGTGTAATCTATTTCCTAATATAGAATCAATGTATTGCACAAAGACTGATTTGAACTTTTTATACCTAACAATAATTTTATCTCATTAAAACATTTAATGTATTGTTAAAACATTTAACAATACCATAATTTAAGCATACTTATTTCAATGGTTAAATATGCTTTTAATTTTTACATAATTTGTCTCTACATACAATGATCTTCAGATATTTACAAAGAAATTAATATTTTGTATGTACAGTATATTCTTTCCACCCTGCGTGCATTAAGAGGGCCTTTTTCCATATCCACTACAAGTTTGGCCCATAATGGGGTGCCTGGATAAGGAGGAATCTTCATTCCTCAGCATATATCTGGAAGAAAACCACCCTTTAAAATTCCTGGGGAGTATCTCATCTAGATACAATCCCAGATCCTCCAGAGTGCTAGGTTTAACTGCTTTGGCCATCTGGCCAGCCAAACTACAACTTAAACAATGTTCTCACTTGGTCTTCTGCCATTTATACTGTATAATGCAATTGGATGTTTCTGTCTAAATAATAACTTCATTATACAGTAATCTGTCTATATTTGATGTCTTAATATAATTTAATATATGTAAAACTTGTAAGTGCAATTATGAAACAGTTATAATTAGGAAACCATTGGAGACAACAATGTATGGTTTGATAAGTTTAAAATACAGTATTTACTTCTGGTGTCAATTTATACATGGATTGTCCATTTTTCATTTGTTAAACATTAGATGTTTAAACTACATAGTTCTTTATTTCTTTTTAAAAACTTCAAAAAGCAGCTTCAAGATAATGTTGAACAGCTCTTTAAAGTTCAATGAATTTTTGTCTTAATGAACAAATTGAAAAGAATAGCCAGTTGCCTGGTTTTCTATTAATTTCAATGTTTCCCACGAGATACTCACCCTGTAAAAAGTCATATTGATTTAAGATAAGCATTCAAACTTCAGTTTTAAAGAAATATTAAAATATCTCCATTCCTTTGATGAGGATAAATGCCAAAACATGTTATGAATTAAAAATTAAAGAAAAAATTATAATGTAGTTATGAGTCTCTTGGAAACTGATGAAATTATATGAAACCAGACAACTGGATATTATCATCAATTTGTTCATTAATAATGTTGAATAATCAATATATATTAACATTAACTTTTCTACTGATACCAACTTGCTGTTTATGGAACTAAACTTTTTTAAAAATATTTAACAAGAATAATTGTGTTAGACTACATAATTTAATGTCAGAAATGGATGATCAGTATTTAGTAAATATAAAAACAATAAAAAGAATGACGACGACGATCTTTTGCACAGACAAAAAAAAATGACAATAAACTTCATTGACCTCTTTATGTAAACTTCTGTGAAGCTTAGAATTGTGCTTGTTATCAAATTATGAGTCTTTCTAGTTGTAATAACTATGACAGATGCTACGTGAGCAAAACTGTGGGCTTTGTTAAAGCCTACAAAAAGGGAACAATAAAATTTATCATCATTTCTCATCTCTGAAAATTACACTGACCTTCTTTTTGAACCAATTTAACAATACTTTCAAAACAACAGAACACGATCCTCCTGCCGATGGACACACAGATAAAATTTTATCAATCTTTTTTTCTTCCAAGTATGACAAAATTCAAAAATTTGTTTGTAAATAAACAACAAATATAAATCAGATAAAATCTAAAGTTGTTTATAAATCATAAAATTGAGGATCAAATGTCTATATTTTTAGTGAATTTTTCATGCTGCTTTAAAAACAGCATGTCAAGCTATCCTTGCAACTCTAAGAAAACTGATTAATTATTCTGAAAACTTACTTTTTGGCCTAAAAACAGCTTCTTCTCAGAAAGTATGGTGATTCCTATACCTCCTGACTGACTATTCATTGCATTAAGCATGTCTTTCCCTCCCTAGATTAAACAAATTTAACATTTAATTAATGCTTCCTACATTAAAATAGATTCAACTTATAAATATTTTTAAGAGTTATAGTTATATAGTTTTTAATTTCTGATAACAAAATTATCAAATTTTTTTTACATATATTCAATTTAAATTTCCCATCTTCCATAAATTCAGTCAATATAAAGTTATAATTAAAAAGATTTTTAAGCTTTCCATTGACATTTCCTCAGGTAACACACAATATTAACATTGAACAGACTTTTTGAATAATTAAAGCTAGAGTTAAGCAACTTTCAAGTGTTTTTATAATTTCATGTTAAAAATGTGTTCTATTCAATGTTAATGTTTAGTATTCCCATGGAAATTATTAAATTATTTTAAAGATTCTTCAGTGTGTTTACAGACTTCCCTTCTGTACACAGAGTGAAGAATCTTTATCTTACTGAAATAAATCTGTATACACATTATGGATGTATATAGATTTATTTCAGTAAAAAGAGATATAATTTTGCTTATTGTACAATATAACATGTGTAAGTTATCTTATATACTAACTGAAGATGATTCAGAACATAACCTTACAATATTGTAAGCAATATAGTGCATAGCTTGTGTTGTATATAATTATCTCTTTGGTAAAGAACAATATAATTTATAGAGAGAAATTAAATAGCTATAAAACCATATTGCAAAGTAATGTTTCAATAAAACAGCAAAAATATGTTTAAAACTAAATACATGTGGGTGTGTGCATGTGATTTGCATGCAAATTTTAACAAGATATGTAGAAAAAATTACTTTTCCTTTTCCTTTGGATTTTCCTTTTGGACTAGCAGCAAAACCTTTCTTTGTGCCTGATTTCTTTGGCGACTGAATAATTTTCAGTTTTTTATTAGAAACTGAGCTTGACGAAGATGATGATGACGTCTGGGCAGTCTGTGGTGTTGAAACCACAACAAATTTTCCACCTTTCTTTTTGGCTAACAACTCTGGATGAATTTTTGGTAAAACGCCACCAGATGCAATGGTGACTCCTCGAAGTAACTGAAAGACAATCACTGCATTAACTATAATAATTAGTAAGCAAATATTTAAAGTTCAGTAAGTTCTGCTTAAAATTCTTCTCACCTGATGCAGTTCTTCGTCGTTAGCAATGGCTAAAAGGATATGACGGGGTGTAACTCTTCCTTTCTTATTATCTCTTGCAGCATTGCCTGCTAGCTCAAGAATTTCGGCTGAAGTAATGAACACATGAAAACAAAAAATTGTCCTGTTTTTTACAAAATTATGAATAGAAAATATACTAAACACATTTTTAAAAATCTCTGTTCAATTCTTTGAATAATATACTACTTACCATCAATAAGTATAGAAATAAATACTTACCAGCATTTACTTCTATACTTATAAATTAAATCTGTTTTTTTTATATATTTTAATTATTGATCAAAGAATAACTACAATGGTTAATTCTCATTCAATGCTGCTCAATAAAGTATACTGTTAATTCAAAGAATTTTGAAGCCATATTCTTTGCATTTTGTAAATCCTTTAATTATAAAAATTCCTATTTGAATTGCCAAACTGGCATAGCTCTGTAATAAATTCTAATTTCTGCAGTAACAAATTAATTCCATATCAAAGTTTTCCTGAATTTTAACCTTAATATGCAATTAATTTTCTCCATTTTTTACACAGATTTATGAATAACTTATCAAACTTTAATTTGATTTGTTTTGTTATGCAATTATAATTGAAAAGAATATAACTGGAACTAGGATGAAATGTTACATAACACAGTCTTATACCTGATCCTAAGTAATAAGATTGAGTCGATACAACTTAATTGCTCGCTCGATAAAGTGATATTAACTTACAAAATTACTTGATTGAGTCAAATTTATTGTGTGTGTATTTTTTTTACCAATGAGATATGATAAGTTTATCTATCGCATTCAGTATCACTGTAAATTAGCTAAACTTGATGTGTGATTACAAGTTATTTGGCTGTGTTTTAAAGCTAAAAAAACACCAATTAAATTTGAAATTAATCTATAATGTATTGCATTTTAGTTAAATAAGCTCTCTCTGCCTTACTAACAACAATAATATATTTTTCCCTTTATATTTATATTATTTACAGTAGAACACTTTTACATGCACTTATTCCTAGAATTGTTATTGATTTAAACATTATACAATTAAATATAACAATTTTTATGCATAAAATTAGCATAAAGTGACACTATAAAAGGAAAATAGTTCATCGTTTATTTACATAAACCAAAAACTATAAATGTAATCACATAAACCTAAATCTAAATAGATAAAATATGAGGACAGTTTTTTGCCTTCTGTCCACTTTAAATACATGTTTTAAGCTTAAGTTGATGCTTGCTATAGTTTGAATGAGCATAATGCATAAGAAGCACTGATCTAAGCTTAAAGTTGGGATATGACACCAACATAAAAAAATAGGACTCTTGCTCAAAAAAAACTCAGCAAAATCAATATGCATTAACTTAGAATTCATATCCCTTTAGTTCATAAACCCTCCAGAGCAGCAAACTATACTTGAAAATTTGACTGTGCACAATATATTATTTAAAAAATGGTATAATTTATGTACAAACACAACTGTCTGAGTGAGAGAGAAAAAAATAAACATATTTTACACAACTGCACGATAGTAGGACATTTTATTCTATAGCATTTCCTGTCTGGAGTTCTGTGAACCATGAGAAAGGTTGATTGTGGCATGAGACACACTTCAACAATTCTAGTCTGAGACATGAATTAGATGGCTCAAACTATAAAAATATTTAAATTTTACAAATATTTCTTATCTTATTAATATTTCCTTCTTTTATAATACTGATTTTAAATTTGTGATAATAAAGTTGGGAGTCAATGATGCATGACTTTGCCATCAATAAATTTATATGATAGAGAATATAAAATTAAGATTTCCAATTGAATATCCTTTGCTTAGAGCACTTTTCCTTACTTAAAAACTGTTTTATATTATTTGTTAAAGAAATTGAATTTTAATCATTAATTATACTTTAAAGCAAATTATGCTGAATTTTTAAACTCTTGTGCCCATTTATCGAAACTGTAAACAAAGAGATCAGTTAATTAAAATTTATGTCCAGTTTATAATTAAATTATTCTTTAAGTTTTTCATGAAAATGTTTATCTTTAAATCTAACGGGTTTCAATTTATTTGTTGCATATATCTCTACAACATTAAAAATTTCTATTTATTAATGAAAAAAGTAAAAAGAAATGATTTAGGTATCATAACATAACCTTATTTTCATTTCGTAAACTTCAAAGCATAATAAAAATAAGAATATTTCAATAGTTTTGACCTAAATTTTTCTTAATGCTGATAAATAATCTGTAGGATATAAATATAGATTATTTTTTTTCCTCCTTCTTCTTCCTCCCTCTTCTTCCTAATCAGTTTGTTTAAATAATACAACTAAGATGTAAATATGCTATTAATTTTCTGGAAATATTAGATAAGATAAAAATTTATAATTGATATTCAGACAAAAGAAGGTTGTTTCTTTCATTTGTTGACATCAGCATTGAAAAACAACTATTTTTTCTCATTAAACTGCATAGATGAAGGTAAATATTTACTTAAATGCATTATATTAAAGTGTGTTACATAAAAAGGGTAATAAAATCAAGTCCTGTTTACTGCAAATCACATTAAGCTCGACATTGGACCAATATCACAAACTAATAAGAGTTTAAGCAATTTGAAATGAGATGAACAACTCTTTATCCTTCAATTTTAAGTTAATGAAATGAGAAAAGAAATGTTTGTTTACACCTAATAATATCACAAGTAACTTTCTAATCCTTGTGAAATATGCATAGATTTAACTTGATTATTTAGCAGTCTAAACAATGATTAAATTTTAATTTATTTACTATGTTTAAACTCATTTTTATTAATAAGTTAATTAAACAAACTGCAGTTAGTTTATTTTCTAGATCAATTGGCATTCAGTATGGAAATTCCCATTTGTAGACAACAGAAGGGTTTCACTCTCAAATTCCTTTCATTAATTGACGGTGGTTAAACTTTTGTCACTTTGCAAAAAGAGCTGTGATTCTCCTTATATTAAATGCATCATTTTTTAATGTTTTATGTTGTATTTTTATTTTGTCTCGATGGGAATTAATTTCCAACAATCTGAAAAACTACTCTCTTGAAATTAAAAATTACTAGATACTAAACGCGATTAAAGAATCTTAATAATAATGTCGTGAATAATAAATCTGCAGCAGCCGTTGCAACATAAATATTCAAAATATTGATTATCCTTTTCTTTTTTTTTTAAATCAATTTATAAAGAAATTTAATTTAAAATTAAATTTGTTTCTGCAAATTTTACATTTTCACATAAAAGATCACTTTATCATAAATCAATTATTGTTCTAAATGAATTTATTCATAAATACACAGCATGCAATTCCTAAATCTGATTTTCTTCAGTTTTGCTCCAAAGAAAATTGGATACGAGTGATGCCGATAACTAAATTTTAATTAAATTCTGAAATATATTCGAGAATAATTGTTTGTCAACCTTTGTGCTTGGTTATACTTCAATTGCATGGCGGTTAGACATTAATGCATGAAAGTAATGTGTGTGCAATTTGAATCATGTACTTGACAGATATAAACAAATACAAAATTGTATTTGACATATACTGTAAATTTATGGATATAAAAGCAGTTTGTATATAAATTTGCATCTGTTTAAAGCAACTTCTCTGTATATAAATATTGAAAAAACTAGCTGCAGATATGCCTTGCCTGATTTAATGTGTGTTATTACTCTTAATGTTATATCTAAGCTTAATTAAAGCTTATTATCAATACAATGAATCTCCTTGTTAAAATCTTAAAAAAGTACACCATATTATCAAAATTTTGCCTGATAATTAATCATTAAAGCAGCATTTTGTGTAAAGTATTTAAACACTCGTTTTGGATCATATGCTTTAATTTTTATAAGAATATATATATTATATAGAATTATACAGATTAAAATTATTGCAACTTTAATGTATTCCCAGCCAAGACTTTCGAGATCTTGCGCACATCCTAAAATCCTGTAGAATCATAAATGTCACTTAAAATATCTTTAGAATAAAAAAATATTATCAGATTATATTTAATTTTAAAGAAAATAATAACAATAAGCTGAAATTTTATCATTAAAACAACTATTCACAGTTAATTTCTTACAGCTGGTTTACAGCGTCATACAAACCACTACAAACAAATGAAACAAACACTAGCTTAAAAGAAATGTCCATATTGTACTAGATGACACAAAACTAAGTTAAGATATGACTGATTAAAATGACTTCAAACACTAGTTGCAAAAATGTGATCGAGTTGAATGAACCAAAGTTTGACAAAAATTGAGATTGTCAACTCCTACTGAACTGGTCAAACACTCACTGAAAGGGAAAAAACTGGCAGTTCATCTATACTTTGTAGTAGTTTGCATACCAATGTATACTGTATTACTAATGTATTTAACTGAAAAGGATTGCCAATCACTATCTATTATTTTTGATTTGCAGATTTCTAAAGTTTTCAAAGACATGAAGTACAAGATTGTATTTCTTTATTCTACTTGATACAATGTGCTTCACTCATTGCCAATAATTTGTCTTATTAATATAAAAGAATAATCACTATTTTCATGTATAACTTATGGAGAAGCGTAGTTGACTTTGAAACAGTCTTTAGATAACTATTTTCTCTCAAAATGCTTCGTAATTGAAAGCATTATGCTTTCAATCTTCTGGATCAACAACTTGAATTATTATATTTCAAAATAGTATCATGTAATTTTAAATTCCTTAGAAAATGACTTTTACAATTAGCTGTAAATTATTAATTAAAAACAGTTTGGAAAGTGATTTACTTTTAAAATGTGAAAAATATATCAATTATTAGATCTACAGTATTTAAGATCTAAATCCTCTAAGAAGAAATTATTCGTCTAACAGAAAGTCATTTGCTGTATAAAAGACTTGCCAATAGTTGACTTCAACTATATAAAATGATGTAGAAGCTCTTGGAATAAGTAAAATGTAACTTTGTACAGTCAAAAACAATACATGACTCTTAATGTATAAGATTATGGCACACTAAGAGCTAACTCTTATTAAATGCTAGAAATTTCAGATAAATTGTAACTTTATAGCTACAACAGACAAGAAGATAATCCCAAGAATATCAGAAGTTTTGAACAGCAAATAAAGTTCTAGCTTAAAACTTTCCTATTTGCTGTTCTGTAGAAGAAAGCAGTTAATTCTTACCAGATAATGGATGTTGATTAAACTTAATGTTTTCAAGAAAATGTCAGAGGTTACCTATATATCACTCGTCACATAGCAGAACTTCCAACAGTGCCAAAGTATATTTGACACTGCTAATTTGACATTTATTCAAAGAAGGCCACAAAATGCTAAAGAAATAAAACGACAATTCTGAGAATGCACAAACATCACGTAAGTTATAATTTTGAATTAAAATACTAGAGAATTTCTAGCAAGGAAATAAACAACTAATTGATAGCATTAACTCAAAACTCTTATGGCTACAGAGTTTCTGATAAGATCTTAACAACAATTTTCACTATACTTTTGTACACCAAAGTGATCTCCAATTTGCTCTATAAGAAGCCAAATATGGGATCCAAAGTATCTACAAGTGTCCAAAGAGACAAGAAGACTCAAATATTGCAGAAATACTATTACAGTTATGATTACATAGTAAGATAACTGAGAAACTCTAGAAGTTTTAACATGCCAGACCAAGAGTTAACTCGATATTCTCGTTAAGCAAATGTCGAAAACTTTCTAACTATAATGGTAGCACTGCTTTCGTTATACATCCAAACTCCTTACAATATACTACACAAGTACTCAAAGCAACTGCAAGATTCCATAAACCGCACAAACACCTTTTGATGATCGCACAAATATATAATTCCAAACAATAGAGAAGCTCTATCAGGCAACAATACATTTAACTCCGACACATGGGACAGAGTTAACTCGTCGCTTTCCTCGAAAGAACATTGGAAACAACCAAAGCGGGATAACAAGTGCGTCGCTTTCGTCTTCCAAACTACAACGCCAAAGGAACACTCGCACCACTGTTTACTACAGGAGGAGCCAAATGCAGATCTACGAGGAGGTAGGGGGAGATGCAAAGGCTGCACATGTGCCAACAGAGACCACAGTTTGGATGCAAGATAAGAGAGTGAAGCTGTAAACGAGTAAACAAAAGGAGGAGATTAGGAGCCAGCAATGGGATATACTCACCAGTTAAGTATTCGATAACAGCAGCCATATAGACGGGTGCTCCGGCTCCGATCCTCTGATGATGAGTACCCTTTCTCAAGTATCGATGCATCCTGCCAACAGGGAAGAGCACTCCCGCTTTGGCCGACCTGGACGTCGCTTTGCTCCTCTTCTTTCCGCTTCGGGCAGACATTGCTCGTCTTCACCAATCGATAGCCCGACGACGAATGAATTTCCACTTCTAACTACAATCACTCGACGCTAATCGAATTCTAATCGTCGATATTCGCTCTCTGATCATCACTTTAGCATTATACCGATGATTTAACCGGAGAAAAACATTTCGTACAGAATCAGCAGTAGATAAACACAACTAAAGACTCGATCGTCCGACCTCCTTCGACGATCATTTCGTCGCTTTTCGTCGACGACAACAAATTCCAAAATACTTTCCTAATTAATTCTTAATTAATTATTAAATATTATTTCGTCCGATACGTCATTAATTTCCCTTCGTCGAAGCTATTCAATAACGTATTTTACTATATTAAATTAGGGCTTTTTATTTCTCCCGTTAGGTGGCGTCGGCGTTGCGGGAAGAAGAGACACTGCCTTTTCTTTTTTGTTTTGATTTTTTTATAACTTCGGGAAATTTGATTTTCCTTCTTTTCTCCGTCCTAATGGCTGGCTACGTGAATCTTTTCCCTTCTATGTGATGTATGTAAACCCGTTTTGTGGCTCATTTCTTCCATCCAGAATAAGTTTTGCAAGTTCCCGAACCTTTTCGCTATGCACACATGCTTTTATGTATATAAAATGATGGATTCTTCGGTACACTTATTACGTAAATACGCATTAAATTAAAGAAAGATGTTATTGGCTGTTGACATTGTATTTGGAGTATATTTAAGTCTTTCGGCTGATTTTCAAACCCTCCCTGCTTCAGTTTTTGCTTCTTTTTTGCAATTAAATGTGTTTTTTTAATGATCCGCAGGTTATTTTTTGCATTATGAACAAATATCACTGTGTGCTTACAAACATGCAACCACACTTACAAAAATATACCTCCAAGATCCATGATTTCTCTTTGAGTTAGCTCCTGTGTGGATGCTGCTTGATAAAAATTACATGCTACCATTCCTAAACATATTACTTAAATATAGCTTCCGAACTTACTAATGTACAGTTCTTGAAAATATAATGTGCTGCAATCTTTTAACATTCTACTGCAAGTGTTGCCAAACTATGGCCCTCTGCCACACTGTGCCACGAATGAGCTAAAATATATGGAAATATTGTAGATTGTAGATGAAATTACTATGTAGAAAAAAATAAAAATAAATGTAATTAAAAATGCCAAAATTGGTCCAATCTGATTTTTGCATTTGACAGTAATATAAATTTTAGGAAAATCGGTGAAATGAAAAATTTTTGTTACTTTGGATATCGGAGCGCTTTTTGTGTGAGTACCTACAATGAAGACTCTAAGAGAAGCAATTATCATCTTGCTGCAGCCATCGTGTTTGTGTATTGGTAAATAAATATGTTGGTTTTCTTTATTTTTGTGTATTCGGTATACTATATTGAACAAAATGGTTATGTGGCACACACTCGTCATTCTCTCTGTTATCTGGCTTGCTGTGAAAAAAGTTTGGTAACCTCTGTTCTATCATATGGTGTCTTTTGTCTGATTTCTAAATAACTCTGATTCAGTTTTCCTTTAATCAAATTTGCTATTTTCATTCTGTAGAGTCTCTTTTTGTTTTTTTTCTTTGCTTTATGAACAAGAATCATTTTCTTGAGCAGTGTAATTGGAACTGCACCCTTTACATAAAGGATTACTCCTAAACTCTAGTTCCTTTAGGAGCAAAAACTAAGACATTCTTTTGATTTTTGGTTCTGTATTATCTGTGATCCTTGTTGGTGACCTGCAGAGAGAGAGAGAGTATTACTGATCTGTCCTTGCCATACTCTACTAGGTTTGTTATTGATAGAAATGACAGAATTCTAAATATATTCAGATAATATAGTTCTTGAATATATAATGTGCTTTAATGCATGGTGCACAATTTGGCAAATTTATGAAGTGGAAACACTTAAAGCTTAATTTTAATTTTATTTATATAATTACTTATCAAGCATATAACAATATTGATTATATTGGAAATTTGCTTTCATTGTATAAAATGTGAAAAGCTAATGGTCAAGCTGAATTTTTTTTAATAAGTGCAATACCATTTAGGCTTTAACAAGGGAACAAATTGCTAAAGAAAAATTTTAGAAAAGAAACTCTGATCCTTACCTCTCCAGTTCTGGCATTACTTTTACAATATACTACTTTAATGCATACAATAGTTATGATAATTTGCATTACCATGCAGAAATCAACAGCAAATGATATGTAAGATATCACTTTTTATTACTAATTTATATATATAGTTTGATCAATATTCCTCTGAGACCTACCAATATTCAGTATTCAAATATATTATCTATATTATAATAAACTTTTAATGAAATGTCTGCTTTCATAAGAACAAAAATTATTTAATATCCTTTGTTTTCATGGTATATAACTCCATATAAAGAATAGAATCTCTTAAGCTGGGAGACATTTTAAAATTCAAGTCCGAGAAGCAAATTTGTAAGTTACAATTGCAAAAAATACTGATATTTTTTGTTTGTTTAAAAAAAAGGAATTTGCAAATCATGAAAACAAGCATAAAATTTTAGTAGGTAACAGATTCCAGAGGCAAGATAAGATATATGAAGTATTTCATATACAATTGTAAACCATTAGCTTTGTATATACAGTATTTTGAATTGGTTACATTAAAACTATAATAGTTAATGCTGCTGATCTACAAAACACTCGTTTGAAGACTGGCATTGACCATTGTTTTAAGTAACTTAAGTTAAAACTGTGCCAGGCATTAGTAAAAGTGAATTAGTTTTAACACTAGACAGGATTCAAAGTGCAATGAATCCCCAAAATATTATCTATTCTGTAAAAGGATTTCTTAATAAATAGATTTGTTTTTAAATAGTCACAATAAAAATGACCAAATATCAATTATATTTAATTATTAAATACTAGTAGTATTATAGCCCAGTATAATCTGGCAATTATTTGGCATTAATCTAAAAATTAACTTAATGAATGTTTATACAATACAATTAACCTTGACATTTAAAAATCAAGAGTTCAAAAACGATGTGGGGAGAAGGAACAATTCTACTTAATAAATACAGTATATATCTATGACTATGTAGTGACAAACTGCTGATTAACCAAATTCCAATTAATATTTTAGCAAGTTGTGTCTTAATCATTAATATATGAAATATAATCATTATATTCAAAGCGAGAGAATTGTAGTCATGCTGAAAAAATTTTTGAAGGTTATTAAATAAATTATTTTCAAAAGAAGCCCAAAGAACAAGTGTACGTGTCAAAATTAAAACCTCTTTAAATCAATTATACAAGTTTTTCAATGTTGTAATAAATAAATGTATTCATAATGTACTCAAATTTATATATGCATAACACCAGTTATTTCATTTAAAATGAAATTTTATCTAAATCAAAAATGTATCTATAATTGTCCATACTTAGTTCAAATTATTTAGCTTAGAGTTAGAAATAGCCAGACATTGGGCAGGTTTCTAAAAGCAAATATGCCACTTTCAAATGCAAATTAAGACTTAATGTTAATTGCTTTTCTTATGTAAATGAAAATTATTAATTCAAATAACTATTGTTGTGCTGTTATTTTAAGGAACAACAATACTGTTTTATTTATTTCACAAAAAATATAGACAAAAAGAATTAAGATAAGTGGCAAGTAATATGGCAATTGAATGTTTACAAATACAACTTTAAATCACAATTTTTTCCCACGTAAAATTGTGCTGTGGAAATTTAATTATGAAAAAGGTTGAAAACTGATTTAAAGGAACAGTTGTTTAGCTCAAATATGATTTTTCTTTTAATTTTTGACACTTTCTGCCTGTAGACACTAATAGGCTGGCCAGGTAGTAAGGACAGACCACCCTTGAAAGATTATTGAGATTATTTTTACTAGCCTGAATTTATCTTGTGTCCCCAGAGCAAGCCCTGAGTTGTGATCACACCTTGCAATTTCCAACCATGCAGGTAACTGCAACCACGATGATTGTTCCCAATAACTAGTAAATCCCCTTCAAAATCCTGCACAACTGCAGTTTCAACTAAAAACAAAAAGTTTGTTTTCACACTGATTGCAAACATGCATCCAATCAAAAATTCCTTTTGTGCCATGTCATATAGTGGTAACTTTGAAAATAGTTATCATCATGGTAGAAAATGAGAAAACCAGTATAGCTTTAAAATCAAGAATGATCTCCAGTTGATTCAGGCTCATGAATGCCTGTGGAATATTTATTCTTCATATTATTGAAGAAAAGATAAAATAGCAGTCATGAAGTGAGATAAGCAAAAGTCTTGGCATGTTGCAAGTACCATTTTTATATTTCTGAATTTAAAATGTTTATTTTTTTTAGTTTAGTAATGACAATATTATTTTAAGTATAGCTAAAGAACTAAGGGAAAAGTACCATCATTTGCTAACGACATTCCTTTGCATTTAAAAATAAAATAGAAGATCACAAGTGTAGTGAGGGGGAAAAGGAGTTTTATCATGCCCCGGGTGCCAAATGGTCTCCAAGACAAACAAGATTTGTTTCTGGAGGGGGGCATCAATAAAGTGTCATGCCCTGGGCGCCAGTTATGTTCACTATGCCACTGTAGAAGATAGCAGATGAAGAGGATATTGGTTTATTATAAGGTCACTTGTTTCCAAGTTGCAACACCAAAGAACAATGTAACCATGACAAGACACATGCAACTCACACTTGTTGCAGTTGCCTGCACAGCTGGAAATTGCTAGGTGTAACCACTGCTTTAACCTGCTTGCCCATACAGTAGGCCAAATTTGCACCTAGTGTGTTTTAAAACCATTGTAGTGCATCAAAATTTTTATGTAAAGTATGAATAGATTATAATTTTCCTTACAAAATATTAGCATTGGCCCTTCACCATATATCATTTCTTGACAAACAATTGCCAGATAGTATTGTCCATTCATCAAAATGGAGAATCCTCATCCTACTTGCTTTTTTTATTGGTTCCAATTGGCCCAGAATATTTGTTGTGTCCAGAAGAGTAGTCTACTTCATTTTATTTCATTTCTTTTTTAGATGCCAGTCACCAGAGTTCTCACCTAAACACACAAGATGTTTTTACTGAGCAACTGCTATTACTATATACCAGTTATTGATACGTTTTATGCTATTTTCTGGTATGGCATTCTGGCTGAAAAATAGCCCTATATATAAGTAACATTACTTTCATTTTTTTTAATGCGAAATATTTCAATAAAAATTTTTGATAGTGTCATTGTTGAATCTTAAATTTTTGTTTTTTAACAACACTGAAATGCATTAAGTTTGATCAAAGTACTGATCAAACTATATGTAAAAATAATCAAATTTAAATGTCTAGAAAGCTTATTTGTATATATTGATTTTTTACTAATTTTATACATAGTACTAGCAAAGTGTGCCCAGTGTTGCTTGGGTTTGAGGAATTGAGAGTGAGTGATAAAAACAATAGTCCTAATAACTAAAATATGCATTTATTGATCTGATTATTTATAATAATAAAACTGCAAAAAGTGAAAAATTGCTTCAGGCTTGCGGGACAAAGATAAAAGGTCATTCTCATCCCATTGCATAACTTTGGTTGGTCCCTATTTCACAAAAGCGTTACTGGTGCTCAAACCTATTTTTATGAGGTGGTAGTCTTGTTGGTTCTAAGGAGTTTAAAAACTTCACCAGGTACATTTAGCAATGCATTTGTTTTTAGATGCCAATATTGCTCTTGTATATTCATTTGTGGTTTATGTAGTGTTATTAAATCAGTATCCAGATCTTCAATGAATTTGCCATAACTCAGATGCAAAAATTGTTTAGTAAAATTCTCTGCATATCTATCTCCCAATAGATGGATCCTCATCTAAAGGGACAACTTTTTAACTTGATTCCAGTGATGATGCCTTTAAGCAGACATTAAGCTACTTGACAGGCAAACCAACAATCTATTATCAAAAAACCATCAACAATTAGCATTTATTATTTTTGCCAACAGATGATGCTACATGTAAAGAATGCAAAATCTACACACTACCCCTAATATTTTGGGGTAATGTATAGCTTATTGCCAATTCCAGAGTCTAAGTAATACTCATACAAAGTTTGGCCCAAATCAACTTAAGAATAAAGATTTGTATAAAGGACAAACCAACAAGAATTGATTTTTATATATACAGTAAAACTTCTCGTTCCAAGGAACAGAAAAAAATGAGTTATAGAACAATAGAGTAAAAAATGTCGATTTTCAATAGATTTGGTTTTTTACCTCTCTTGGATTATTTAAAGAATCTTTAATTTTTTTTTGTTTTAAACAGCCCATGTAACACCTTTCAGCAAAACATTCAATGTAATTAATGGAATCAAACAGTTTTGCAAATACTGTACATAATCTTGTACATAATCTTGAGCAAGAGGACTTCTCTGGACTGAAATGTTGTCTGAAAATTCTATGGAAATCCAATAATTAGGATCACTTTGGATAGAATAAATCAGTGTTTTTCAACATGTGGGTCACGACCCCCAGGGGGGTTGCAAAGTCTTAAATGGGAGGTCGTGGGTAAAAGAAAAAGACAAGTGTTTGTAGGTCCTACACTACAATAAAAAAAAGTGCAATCTCAGTGAGAAGGCTGTACCTGTTTATTTTACAGTACAATTGGTTTTTTGATTGATATTTAGGTCTCAACAGAAAGAAACTTAAATACGTAGTTTTTAAAATCACTGACATAGTTTTAATATGGCCCTGGGGAGTCGCTTATTCAAGAAGGTTGAAAAACACTGGAATAAATATTAAAATTTGAGTTGAAGTTGAAAGTAACATAAATCAGTGTCAGAGGACCATGAAAAACTTTAATTTATAAAGTCAAATTTTCTCAAATCCCTATGCTACCATTCCATTCAGATATACCAGTGCTTTGTTTTCAAATTAAAGAAATATTTGAGTTAGATAAGTCTTACTGTATAGATCAGGGCTGCCCAATTAATTTTGGAAGCAGGCTATAATTTCAATTACATGTCAGCTGGTGAGCCACCTAGGGAATCATACATTGTGATTCTTCTATAAATGGATAGGTATTTGAATCAAACAAAGCTTTAAGTTGCACATGTTTTAATAATACCTAATAAAAAATACATCAATGAGACCTATGAAGGGGCTTATTAGCTAATAATTTTTCAATATTTGGTGACAACAATTTAATTTTAATACAGAAAAGTTGACTCAAAACTAATAGAACAAGTGTAATAGACACGTAGATTAGGTATTAACAGCAGTGTGGCAGTGACTCAAGTCATAGTTCATTCCACGTTTGACCAATCGAGTGTTGATTGGCATTATTGGTAGCACTTCAAGCAACATGTTGTTCATCAGTTGAAATGGGTGGTCTACCAGTGTATGGATCATCTTCGACACGTTCTCTGCCTTCCTTGAAAATCTTGTACCACTTGAAAACTTGTTTTTGATAGTCTATTGTCACTAATTGCTTTTTGAAACATTTCAACATTTTTGTTGAAGTAATTCCTTTGAGAAAATAAAATTTAATGCAAGTTCTTTGCTCAATTATACTCAACATTTTGAAATATCACCAGTGCAAAAATTCTTTACACACACAACAAACATTTATTTGGAAAGGAAAACAGACAATAACATACAGATTTATGCTAGATGTAGATGAAAGTCATACCAAACGAAGAAAAAACGATGACAATGCTCTCTTGAATGCATGCAGTTTAAATGAACCATTCCTGATACATTTTGATCACAGTAGTATTTCATTTTCAAAGGTACATAAAGCAAAAATAAAATGTTTGTATTGGGGATATTTTCTGACTTCAAAAATTCTCTCCTAGCTGAGATTTATAAAGTTAAAATATGTTTCTATAAAAAAAAAATTTCTGCAAGGTTATTAATTCTAGTTGACTTGAAAATTTTGTGATAAAACATGTTAGTGAAAACAAACTTCACAGGCCATATATGGCTTCCAATGCATATTTATATGGTCTGAAGGCAATAGATTGCATATCCCGATATGTAAGTTTTGAAATAAAATTAAACTGTAAATAACTTAGAATCTATTGTAGTTTTAAAACTAAATTCTTATTATCCAAAAGAAAAAAATTTTTGCTTTCCACTTTTAAATATATTTTGTTCTTGTGCAAATGATAAATGGTAGTCAGAAACATAAAAATGTTATTGAAAATAGTACATTAATACTGTTATTAAATAAATATATATATATACAGGTATCCCTTGCAGGATTTGATTTATGCACAAAATTCATTGTGGCAATCCCTTTTTGTACATGGCAGAAATTTTACTTAACATAGATATAAGGTTCTCAGAAAATAAGGTATTGGTGAATTTGCTGTTTTCGTTTATTAAAATAATTTGTTATTAAATGAAAATTTGTTCTAGCAGGTGGTGAGGTACCTCAGAATTTGGTTAATGCAATTTTGATATACATGGTAGCATCAAGGGATTAAATTGCGTAATCAAGGAATACCTGTAATCCTATAATAATATTTATTATTATATTTTATGTACTATTCAATTTATTTTTAGATATGGCATTATTTGAATGTCTAATTTTTGTTTCTAGAAATAAGAATAATAATTTCTGTATAATTAACAGCCACAGATGTAAATATTGTCTCTGAAAGACTACAATATAATCATTCTTACTTTTGGCATTCCAGATTAACCTATCATTGTTCTAAGTGATGATTAAATTCTAAGCTTGCTTACAAAGTTATTTTATTACACACACGTCTAGGTATGGCAAGAGCAAGATGCATGAAGTCAGTAAGAGATTTAATGATATATTACAAACATACTTTTTAAATTAACAAGAGATATAATTTTAATATCAAGAAATAGCAAAGCCAGTCTGTACATTAAACACATCGCTATAATTAACAATTTTTTCAATTTTATGACAAAAAGAAATCAATATAAGTAACAAATTTTCATTAAATATCATAATACAAGCCATATAAAGTATTTATTTCCAATAAATATTACAATGACTCAGGGTATGATGCAAAACAAAAAGATCATACCTTATGATATGGCTTCTACAAACATATCAAATCACTTTTTTTAGATCAGTTCTGTGGTTTGGAATGGCAGTTTTTTAAATTCATATTTGGACTTGTTAAGAGCTGCCTATTGAAATTAAATTTTCAGAAAGTTTCTGGAATTTATTCTAGGAGGTAATAAAGGTCTGTCATAAAATTTACACCTACAATGGATATTTTCTGATGGGATAGAGAATGTAGTTGGTTGGTTCTTCAGAACAAACAAAATGTCCATTATTTACTGGGAATGATGTATTTGTGATTGGTATACAAGCCATCATCAAATGTATTCAGCGAGCCATCTGAATCCCTCTCCGTAACCTTGGCGTTTTAGGACGCTGCACATGTACAACTCCAACGGTCGTCCCACCAATTCTGATTTTGGAACTTTTGCCTATTAAAAGAAAACCATAAGTATACAATGTGAAAAACTGCTCATTATAAGCAAAATTTTGACAAGCGACATATAAATTTACCTTTCCTGTTGTCATACTATAAAGATCAAAATACGTCCTCAGTTCATCTTCACTGGCGGCTCCTGGCCTATCTATTTTATTTCCCAAAATTAACACTGGACAGTTTGATAACTGTTCATCAGTCAAAATACTCTAAAAAAGAAATTCATCATTTCAGTAACTTTATAAGGCTGAAAACTGTTCAAAACAAGCATTAGGACCATGGAAGTTGCATCACTTATCATATCCTACAAAAGTGTGTTTACTTTTGAAAGATAACATATCACTTGCTGTGGATCTACACAAACTATAAAGACCCATAATATGCTAAGAAGCCTGAAAATGAATAGCAAGTGAAGGTGTATTAGAACTGTGAATGTTGCTTTAATATATTTGTTTCTCACACACATTGTTGATTTTAATAACCTAGAACTTTAAGCTGTGTTTTCAGGCCTGAAAAACTTGCCTTTTATGTTATGTTCTTGCAACTGGTGTGAAATAGTAAATGTCACCTATAATTCTACATATTTTGTTTGCACATAAATATGTTACTTTCTTTTCTGTATTGTAAGCTATGACATCTGTTGAATGCTTTTTGGTATGCATGTTATCATAGATGATGCAATTTCCATGTATAGTACATAAGAATTTGAAAGATAAAAGTATCATGTATTTTATTAGAACTAAAAAAATTACACAGCATTTCTAAAGTTTCTTATACTTCTGTTCAATCACACACTGCACTGTAATAGACTTTTCAATTTAAATAAGTTAGGTTGATATTTCAAAATTCTATCTATAAAATAATTCTAAAGCAGCTTTTGTATAGAATGCACATACCTTATTAAAATATGAGGTCATAAGTGCTGATAAATAGACTTGATTTTTCAATGATAGCCCATTGAAAAATCAAGTCTATTCAAAAGCCAGTTTTCTATTTACAATACTTAAACTACTTTTTACAAATTGACACCTATAAGAAATACACAAGTTCTGACCAGCTTCAGCTTACATTCAACACTGGAATATGGATGCTATATGTAAGTACTGTACATATAGCATCCATATGACAGATTACATAAAAAACAATTGGTGTATAAAATTAAACTACGTTAAAGATGCTTTTTCAGATAATTGAAATAATTTTAGCCAGTTTGTATTTCTTTTATTACAGTGTTAAGGTTTACAGTAAGAGGAAACATTAGAAAATTTCAATTGGTAATCATACATATATTGGGTACGTTCGTAAAGTCAAACGAGTTAAACGCGTTAGTAACGAATCGTTTGAATAGTAGTAGTCTTGCTCAGTGCGCATGCTGTGCAATGACGTTTCGAACGAAACTCTAACAAAGCTCACGAAGGAAAGAGTTAGTTTACTTAGTTAAGAAAATGGCGCCTGACGATATCGATGTTTCTAAATCTACTCGAGTGTTTAAATTGTGAATTAAAAGATGAAATGATTAGAGTAACTGTCCACCTGTCCACCTGAAGCAATCTAAGAAAAATATTCCTGATAAGGCTGTACTAGCAACATTTGTATCTTCAATTTTAGAAATAGCCATTTAGTTCTAAACAAATCGTTCGAAAAGTCTAACGAAATAAGAATAACGATGACGTCATTCTCGTTTAACTCATTCGACTTTACGAACATACCCATTGAAAGAAGACAAGATCAAAATATTTTTAGCAGATTGAAACACCTATTTTAATTTCTAACTTTCCAGTGATATCACAGCATGCAAGTATTGTTTAACTAGCTGAATATTAAAAACAAAACAGCATGTATGACTCTTTTTCAAAGTCATAGTGCCCAAAATGAAAAAGTATATGGTCGAATTAAGTGGGCCTTTTCTCAAGGCTCATCATGGGTTCAATAAGGCCTATAATTAGGTAACACACAAAAACATTCTGGAATTCTTTGGAGACCCAGGATTGAAGTAGTTGACTGACATCTTCCTTGACTGCCTCAGTCAGCCAAACTATAACTTTATGGGATATCCTTGTTGTACAGATTAAAACATTTACTTTCTGGTGTTGGACAATTCACATAAATCATTAGTTTAATAGGATCATTCAGTTTCTTCTTTGGAAAAAACCATTTTACATGATAACATATTTTCCTTGCTCTTATGTCATAAAAGTGAACAATAGATGATACTGATTTTCATATATTTAATAATAAAACTTTGTTAAGACATCTAATTGATATAAGACTAAACAAAAAAAAAAAAAAAACATTGATTATCATCATCATAATTATATGAGGAAAAAAACTGTTCTCAAATGCAATACATAGAATAACTGTAAAATTTACCCAATTTTATTTTAAAATAGGTATATGAATCATATTAATTTAAAAATTGTTTAGTTTTGTTATAGACAAATTACTTTGTCATATTTTTAAAAACATAATCAGGAAATAAAAGTAGAAATTTTTAGACTCAATCCTGATAACATTCTAAATTAATATGAATTCTTGTTGCAAGAGTGGCACTCAACAGTCTTATCATTACATAAACTAGTCACTAAAAATCGAAAATATCTGGATTGTCAAACTTATTTCGAAAGAGAAGCAGTAAATACACAAAATTCAAAGAGAAATATAGAAAACATTTGTGAAGCATGCAAATGCTAGAGAATATTGCATAAATGCTTTAACAGCAAATACTTTTCACTGACAAGTATTAATCTTCAATGAGTATTTTTAATAATAGTAAACTGAAATGAAGTTATTGTTTTCTCTATTGAAAGTTAAACATTTCTCAGCTCAAAATTATTCTACAATTTTTAAAAAAGGCATGTCAGTTGTCAGTCAATTGAAAGAGTTTTATTTATTTTAGTAATTTAGACTTACATTTAACTCAACTTTTGACTCTGGAAATCTCTCTCTATCGCATGCATCTATAAGAAAGACAATGGCATCTACAGCTGGAAAATAATCCTTCCACACTCGTCTGGCTAAAATGAAACAATAGCATTCAATTAAAATACACAAAAAATTTAAATATTGCTTATTAATGTAGTAAATACGTATAAGTATTTATATATGCATTCAATGCAATAAATTGGCAACTCTGAAGTAAACCAATCCAAGCTGAACAAAAATCATCCAAATGCCATATAATATTGGGCTATAATTTGGAAATAATAATTATAACTTACTAATAAATTTGGCACTAGAGGGAGGCATTAGGTGCTATCTTGAATTAAATTTAATAATTATAATTTTAGACTAAACTGGAAGAAAAGTATCAGCCAAGAGTGGGACTCAAATCCACAACTCCCACTTACTGTGTGTACCCAGCAAGGCATAAATATATATGCCTTGCTGAGTATGTGATGGCCAACTGAGTGATGGCCTTATGTGGCAGTTTACAGGACAAGGGCACTGAAAGCATCCCCAGTCGGCACCAACAATGCAGTAACCAGTAATTCTTTAGTTATCAAGATCCTCCACCTGACAACTATTTTTTAACATCAAACTTTTCAACTGCGAGTTTAAATTTTTTTGAAAAAGTTATTTTTATTTACAGAATTTACCTCTGTAAATACAGAGGTAAATTCTGATGCTTTTACAAAAAATTTGTTTATATTGGACTGAAGAAGAAGTTTTGAAAACTATATTTTCTGCAGTGGAGAAATTTGAAATGTGTTCCATTGATTAAACAAAGTTAACTTTTGAAGATTCTTATATAAAATGCAAGCATTATAACAAATGGGTAATCTACAGTCTACATACAGAGTAACAAAGTATATTATTATTATATAACATTTCTGAAAACTTTGTTTGATGAAAAATATGATAATTAAGTTTCTAAGACAAACTATTGCTGGAGTACATTTAGGTTATAATATAGTGCAAAGGTAATTAGTTATGCTGTGATCTTGTCCTAAATTTAATGGTTAATCTTTCCTTCCAGAAACATCTAACCCACACAATTGCTTTGAAGATGTGTTACCAGTTACACAATACAGCTTGAACCTCTCACCAAATATCACACAAAAAGTAGATTGGATTCTAAAACAGGTCTAAATATATGCCCCCTGCCAACACCAACATTTGCCAGTCGATCCTGGCCTCATCAGAAGCACTCAAATCTTGCCAATCAACAGCCATGTATCCACAAATGGAATTATTGGTAATCATTGGTAATCACAAAACTTGCAACAGCAAGATAAGCATCTGATGAGTCTAAACATCATATGGACTATCGAGTGGTAACGCACTTCCTCGCCAGGGCCGATTTGAGGTCTAAGATAAGGACAAGAAATTTGATCTGTATAAAGATGTTGACTTTCTCCTTAGGGCCAACAAGGTTCTTTCCCAATCACAATCAGTAGTACTAAGTGAAGACCCTACAGAAAACAAGGAGAATCATAAACCTTCCAGGTGTGATATTGGTCCTAACTGGTGTCTTGATCTCACTTCCAATATTGCATGTCCCAGATATGTGCTTTTGGCTCAAAAAAACAAAGGAGGGTTGACCATTACAACCACTTGTAGACAAGATGTCTCATCCTACCTATTATTTAGAAAAGGCACTAGCTAAATTTCTCCACACACTGATTCCAGGCTCACCCTATGTTACTCCCTTGTCCTTAGTTGCTAAATCTACCATCACGTTGTGTTGCAAACCCATGTATACAGCTTCTACAAACTGGATGTAGTATCCCTGTACCCTTCAGTGCCCATTTTCAAAGCCATAATGCTTATCAATTCTCTACTCCTCAAGAGCAGCTTTAGTACTCAATAAATACTGGATATATGTGGTGCTCCATGATAAACATTATTTTTGTTTCAATGGGAAAATTTGTTATTTACAGAAACAGGGAGTCCCCTAAGGGTTCCCCTTTATCTGCTGTCCCAGCAGAACTGATCATGAGAGAAATTGAGCACAGAACATTCAATTTTACACTAATCATCCACTATCCACTTTGTACCTGTGTTGTTGATGCAACTCTCCCATGCTTGACCTGTCCAGTGTGTGGGTTTTCCCTATATACATGGCTAAACAGTGATATGCATGCACCATCACACCTTTGACATGGGTGTATATCCATGCATGCACTGCATGGCATTTCTTGAGTAATCAAATTTTGATCATGCTCATTTAAATTGAAATTATGTTTGTCATCTTCAGGAGAACAAATACTATAATGACTTAACAGTTTTTTATTTTGTTAGTGCTTTCAATGAACTTAACACAGCACCCAGTGTGTTTTTACTTTCTTGTTACCAGTTATACTATTAAGACCTCCATCCAATCAAATTAATCCATATTAACTTATCACCATGTCAAATGGTGAAGCATCTTTCTTTCATGGCACTCAGTCAACTATTATTGCTGGATCACATTTGGCATATATTATGTCTTATTAATGATAGAAATAAATTTAACACAAGTTTATAATAATTTATTTAATGATCTAATACGATATCATAACTGGCTATCTTTTGGCTAAATTGATTTATTTAATTATTAATAGGGATATTATAGCTACTGATGGATTACACTTAAGTTATAAATCATTTAAAATAATATAATAAAAACTTAAATAAAATTATTTAGTATCAGTACTTTAATATTGATTGGTTGTAGTTACCTAGACCAATCAATATTAAAGTACTAAATAAATAAAGTAATAAATTGTATAGAATAATAAATATTTACTTCATAGTAAATGGTTAAATTTGTGGTTACAGAAAGGAATAAATTGTGTTTTGGCAATAGACAATTTATTTCTCTAGAGTTTGCTATCTTTTTACAAGCTAATTGCTTGACTATTAAAGATAAAATTTGTTTTGTATACACATTTTGGAAATATCTTGCTTTTAATCTATACTATTATTATAAAGAGGTAATGTTTGAAAGTTTGTACATAGCGAGTAATCTCCAAAACTACTCATTCAATTTCAAAAACTCTTTCACCAATATTTAGAATGGAACTTCAGGGTGGACATGGGTTGTATATTATTCCGTTAAACATTCATATAAATCAAAAGATATCATCTAGGGTTAAGGCTTTTATGTCCAACAGATGGAGCTAAGAGTACGCCGACCTAAGTTTGCTTTTCTGTGAGGATGAACTAAAGCAGATCATCATCTATCTATATAAATAAAAATGTAATGTTCGTTTGTTCCTACCGATTCCTTTTAAATTTTCACACAATGCTGCATTCAAATACGCATGTGTTTTTATATAATATACATGTCGAAATTTCCCTCACTGGGGGGGGAGATGGACAGGATTAAGGCCAGTAAAGAACTCTGCTTCTATTTATACTATTTTAGATGCGTTTTAATAGGGTACGTCAAGAGAATGTACACTAAGAAGGATTTTTCGAAAAATTCTCCCGCATGGGGGGAGTGTTATACATTTATAATAGATATATTTTGAGCCACAATAACGCATGGCGGGGTATGCTAGTTCACGATAAACTAAATAGTTGTTCAAAAATTATTGCAGTATAAATAAAAGATCTCTTACCTTGATGATGTCCTCCAAGGTCAAATGTAGTAAATTGCATGTTTCCTATTGATAATTCTTCAGAAGCTGTTAAAAATATTTATTTTGAGAAATTTTTCTAGCAAATTTTCAAACAACATATATTAGAGAGAATTTTCTTCATTCTAACACGCATTAATGAACACTTCTAAGTGACAAGCAGCTAGGTAACCAATAGGATAGTCCATTTCATGTGAAATGGATTATCCTATTGGTTTGCTTACTTAGCAGCACCCTCGAAGCAACAAGAGAAAGCACTGGCAATATAAACCACCACTCTTTCTAAAGAAGTTCAAAAGTTCCTGCTGAATTGTAAGTTTTGTGGTTCCCCCATCCAGAATCATTATTAAATATGTATTTAGAAGTAAAACACTGTCATGAAGATAAACTAATTTGTATGAATTTTGAGATAATAAACTATAAAAGTTACTAAAAAATACACACATCTGTATATCACCAATACCAAATTAATCAATTGGTAAGTAAAAGTAAACTAATTTACTTCATAATTAATTATGAACTATTAGTCTTATTTGAGAAGAATTAAAATTAAGATTTAACATTACTGACAAAATTAGCAGTTCTTTACTTTTATATTGAAAAGTTAATATTTATTCAAATTTGGATATTTGTGGCAGATGAGGCTCTAAGTCAACTTATTTAATTCTGTATAGGTATATATCACTTTAGAGTAAAGCATAAGCATACTCACTCGGATGTAATGTCGGGACATGTTGGGCCATTCTGTCATCTTTGAGCATGTGTAAGAGGGTGGTCTTTCCAGCATTGTCTAGACCTAAGAATAGTAATTTTCCATTTTTCTTCCACAGACCTAGGAAAAAACAAAATTATGTATTTAGTTATACTTCCAATTTGGATAAAATACATCTATGATTTTTGTAATGAACAAAAAGGAAATTTTGCATCTTCTGCCTTAATTATCTTTCATGAATTACAGAAAAAATATTTTGTATCATGCAATAGTAATTCCTAGATCAAACTTAATAATTAATTTGACTTGTAAAATAATAAAGACATCACATCTGACATGTTATATCTGATAATTTTGAGAAAAAAGCAAGACATATTGCTGTACAGTACAACGCATAATATTAAAATTATTAATATAAATTTCAAATAAACATTTTTGTACTTTCAGAACACAATACTTAAGAGCCAAAGAAAAGACTCTCCCATCTGTAATGAAAGAATAAAACTGAACATGTTGAAAATGTAGGGATCGTGTCAGTCAATAGAAACACACATAATTTTGAGTTTTGACTCTTCCTGTCTTCTGAGCACTAAGAGGGCTTTTTTTTTCATATTCATTGTAGTTCATCCAGACCCACAATGCAGACAACTGGATGGTCAGGAAAGAGAGTAATGTAGCCATCACAGATTGTCATTGAAAAATTGGTGGCGTTGCTGTCCCAGAATTGATCCCATGCCCCCACAGATTGATGGCTAAGTAATTAAAGCATCAGTCTACAATCTGAGTTTGAGTCAATCTGTTTTTGTACACATTCACAAGGATCTGCAAACACATATCTTTTAATATACATAATTCAAAATATTTTTTATGTTAACAAATTAATAAATCCAATCTAATAAGCCTGTCAGTCAATTTTAGGAATCAATGAAGAATAGGTAAGCTTCCTTGCTTGGCAAATTTAACTTTCTACCAATTCATTATCACATATACTTTTAGAGTAATTTAGCTAATTTAATCATTATAGTTATTAAGTTTGTCTCATTACATATGACCAAAACTTAAAAATTAAGTTTGTTTACCATTTTAAGTTGCATTCATCATCATCTTTACATGCAAAACAATACATTGAAGTTATTCTGTTTGACCCTAGATATGTATTTTGGTCCAAAATTTTTAGTATTCAATCTATAGGACCACATATTCCTATTGCAAATATAGGCAAAATCTTACAACATATTTGTCAATTCAAAATAGTTAGATCTGTTGAAGGAATTTGCATTTTAAAATTTATTTATAACATAAGTTTCAAAAATTCAAAAAATGTATTTGTTCTGCCATTTGCATTTATGGGCTGTTTACTATTGTTCAAATGTTTCTTATAAAACTAAAAGCTTGAAAAATTACTAAGCATCAATCATAATCAGTTTTAAGAAAGAGCCCTGTTTATTCAGGAAAAACTGTTTCCCTCATCACAATTTCATTGTTTAAAAAACATTGTTAAGCATAGAAACAAATGGAATTTAATAAAAATTAATTTTATTTTACATTTTATAAGATGTCAAAAGCTTTTTGTGCACAGGAATTAGAAGGTAAAGATAGAAATAAGGAAATGTAATCCACGCTGCATTGATAGACTTCCCCAAACTGAATCTTAAAACGAAAAGTTTACAGTTTGGAAATGTGCCATTATTAAACTACAGAATTACTCTTAAATTAAGGAAGCTAACAAACGTTTTGGGAATTTTCCAAAGATTAATTTTCTTTTAATGTCAGAATCATTCTTTTGGTGATCATTTTCCACATATAGAAGTTTGTACATTATGACTGTCTTTAAACATTTCATAATGATTGACAATTATATCTATAAATAGCGTAAGCAATTGGATTTTCCCATATAATTTTAGACTAGCAAAATTTTTATATCTTTTTATTTTTTATCATTTTGGGTTCAATTATTTAGCATATAAAGAAAAAAAAAATAGAGGTTGATAATGCTGTAATCCTATTTGGCTTTATATTTGGAACGTAAGAAGCAGAGTTAATTTTTCAAACTGCAAAAATTGCCCATTGTCATCAAATGTAACATCAACTTGTTTAAATTTATGCAGGTATTGTAATCATCATAGCATTGATAAAAATTTGATAACACAAAATTAACAGACCATGTAATTTTTTTGTTTAATCTCTATCTATAATAAGTAAAGGTGTAAGGAAAAAAAAAACATTAAAGTTCATCACAGATCATAGAATTTTGAATTATTTCTATGCCAGACAACAATATCTAAATTTATTTTTGAAAGATTGATAATCTATCAAAAGAATTGTCTTGTCAATTCTGATCATCAGTAATTGTTCAGTTGATTTGCAGAAATAAATTCTGTCAATTTAACAAAAAGTTAAAACTTGTCAACCATACAAAATCTTATTAAGCAACATTTTTTTTTTATAAAACAAAACATTATTATTTTCCTCTAATAAATAACTCCTCTATTATTTATCATATTCATCACAAAATAATCTGTTAAATTTGGCAATAGTTAAGCATTGAAATTGTTAAGAATACTATAAAAATTGTAAAAAATGAAAAAAAATACTATGGAAATAATCAAATCAATTTTTAAACCATTATCATAAAAGATAAGTTGTGTATAGATTTAAAGCAAACTGTAATAATTTGAATTTATTGAATGTAAAGGCAAATTTAAATATTGAAGGTTATATTATAAATTACGGTGAAATAGTGTTAAATAAATAAGTAAATTAAAATGTCTTGTAAGTTAAAACTGTTAGATAATATAAAAATAAAAAGAGGAAAGTGAAAAGAAAAACAGCTAGAAGAATTTAAAATGTAATATACAGTAAATCTGTATTCTAAATGTATGTCTTAAACCATAATTAAATATTATTGAAATGTAAGTAATATATCTTTATAATTACATAATACAGTAATCTATAGAACTTACATATTAAAATCATTAAATTAGAGGAACCAAGTATTCTAAAAATAGGACAGAATTAACTTAAATAAGAAGATAGTGGAAACATACATTAAGTGCATTTTAATTTCTTGCTATGTGCATTTTAATGTGTTAAGTGTGTTAGTTTTTATTTTAACAATAGCGAGGTTGAAGCCAAAGTTTTAATAGCGAAAACGTGTACGTCGAACGTTCAGCGCCGCTTTCCTGTAAGCCTAGAAGTTTGACAATGGTGTTTCGATAGTCAGTGGAATCATGCTAGACATTCCAAACACCATTGTCAAACTTCTAGTCTTACATGAAAGCAGCACTGAACATCTGATATACACGTTTTTGAATTTAAAACTTCAGCCTCAACCTCGCTATTATTACTACTTGAAGAGGGAACTTGAGTTCTAAAATGCATGCTAATAGTTTATTATAATCAATTTAATATTTGGTTGTTTGTGTTTAATAGGCCCTAATATATTATTTACAAACAGATTTTGTTTATGTAAAAAATGAATGTAATATAATAATAATAATAATAATGTATGAGCAAAAGTAGAGTTAATAATTCTAATTTAACACTATCTTGCTTTGTAATTCATTAATTTTATACAGATCTTTAAAAACTTGCTATTTCAACTGTCAAAACACTTTCAATTCTACTTCTACATAAATTACAATTAAATGAAATCAAATGTGTCTAGTTTTGGTACTGGCATGAAAATTGTATAATTTGACTCCAATTTCAAAGTGGCAATGGGTTTATTTTAAATAAGGTTTGCATAGGAGAATACCCAATATTTGCCCAAATTTATAACAATTTGCAATTGAAGGAATGCTACCAATAAACAATTTAACCATACAATAAATTAATAATTATAAACCTGGATAATTTCAGAAAGATGTTTATCAGAATTATTAGATTTTTCTAACTTGGACCATATTTATTACATTCTTAATAGAATAGCTATAAAATGGATACTTCATTATTATATAGAATTCATCTTGTTGCAGAAAAGTGCTATACGCATCATCCATATGATCTAAGTGGAAAACAATTTTGAGAATCTGATTTTACTAAACAGTAGAAAACTCCTAAATGTGATAGATGTCATCTGCACTCAAACAAAGACAAATTTTGTAGTGTTATGTAGTTAAACAAGTCTGTCAAAACAGGCTTGTTTAACTACTTAACACTACAAATTTTCAAACAAAATGGGTGGAGATATAGCTCTTGGTAGCATCTTAGAAGCAACACAAAGCTGAGAAGGAAAGTTTCTGTCGTGTTTTATCATTTTAGCAAATAATAAGTTGAAAAGTTTGATTGGGTTTCTAATGCCAATTCTAATGCCAATCAAATAATGAGCATAATACTAACAGCAAGAAGTCTTTTTATTGGTGTTTATTGTCTTGTGAACTAAAGAATTTTTATTGTCCCTTCAATAATGGATACAGTAGTGATACAGTAGCGAAATTTTATAGAAAAGCCTATCCTAACTGTGTGATAATTTGTTATCCAAATGCTATGCTCTTAGTTTTTTGACTGAAATTCAAATGTAAAAAAAGAAGTCATAATTGAGAAAGTAGGAAAGTGTGAATATGCATCAGATTTAATAATTTTACTCCAATTTCCAAATGACAATAAGTTAATTTTCATAATTGTCCAGAAAATTACATTCACATTGCATAAATTAATTATAACAAATTTTAAAATATTCTAATAAAAATAATTATCTTTAAATAGTTTACTTACCGAAGAGATTCAAGAAACCTGTCATCCAATCTACTAGAAACATTGCTATGATTTGATCTGAAAAAAAAAAAAAAAAAGATATTAATAATGCTTAAAAAAGTTTTAAAAAAAGCTAAATTAGAAATGTTAACATCAGATAAGACATTGCGATGATTTTAGCTCTGCAGCCGTACACCACAAGACCTGGTTTGGATTATTGACCTGGATCGCATCTGGACAAAAATACAAATTAGCAAATTTGCATCATTCTCCTTTATCATATTTATTTTTAAATTAAAACCTAGAAAGTTTGTTGCAATGCTGTTATTTTAATGACATGGAAATTTTTTGTTTCAAACCAGGGTCATAGAATGCATATTCTCTTGCTCAATAATTTTGTTTAATACTGAAAAAATTTATTTCAAATTTAGAATTATGTAAATTTGCATTTGTTACATGCCGTTAGAGTTATATATATATATATATATATATATATATAAAGGTAAAATTTGAAATTAATTTGTATTTTTATTTAATGCTCAAATCAATTTAATGCAACAACTCTTGCATATTACATTTAATTATTAAAAAAAGTTGTGAAATAAATTACTTTTTTCCATAATTCATTTAAACACAGCATCACAGACAATGATGCAAGTTAATGACTCACAAGGAAGCCATGTCAAATCATTTGTGCATTGCGGCTAATAAAAAGGACCACAATTCTATCCACTAGAGCAAAAGAAAGTTCTTGTCTATTAAAAAAATTTAAGTATCCGTTTTAAATTAGGAATGAAATTTTACATTTGTAACTGTTACAAGCAACCCACGTTGATGAATCCTAATTAAAATGCAAACCAAGAATGTCAAAATCAAACTGTGGCTCAGAGTAAAAAAGAATGTTTTAATTAAACAACTGTCAAGGAATAAATTTTGGTCATAAGACAAAATAAAAGACTCATTTATCACATAATCAACAAAAGAAAGGCTTTCTTTAGAGATTATTTTCTGAAAATAAAAATCAACCTCATTATAGAAAAGCTAATTACATCAAAATGTTGGAAATTATAGCATATTATTAAAAACTTATTGAGTCAACCCTACAAATGGAACAATTTGCATTTATGCTTTTGCAATTGAATAATGCAAATGCATTATCCAATTGTTCCATTAATAATCCAATGCATTAGCTATATGGTCATATGGCTTAGCCTGGAGCAATTAGTTACTTTCAATTTTCAGAATGAAAAGGATTCCCATGCTGTAAGCATTCCTCCTCTACAATGCTTATAAGAGTCTTGCTAACATTGACAACAGAAACATGTAGAAGGAATTGAAGTTAATAAGAATGGCTTAGTTATTTAGCTATGCAATAGTCTCAATCATGAGTCCTCTAAAGAAAATTAAGACAAAGCTACAAAGGAAGTTACTTCAAGATGATCTACAAAGAACTTAATTTAATATTACTTTTTAATGTCTTCAAAACATTACTTGTTTTATTCTCATAGTCAATTTAGAAGAATTGTCATTGTTAAGAAGTTTTAAGGACAATACTAGTAGTTATTACAGTATATTAGAAAAAACAGACTAGAATATATGTGAATGAAGCAGCTGAAGGGTTCAATAAAAACTATAAGTAAGAATTTAATCTTGTTGCCAATATAATATCATGTTTTCTTGATTCTGATGCACACCTGTTTTTGGAATTTTCTGGTCTCAAAAATTGGAATTGCACTAGAATTGGCTACAAAGTTGATTTAATGCAGCCTCATTTTCTTTTTATTCTGGTCAGCAATTTGCTTGTATTACAATGTTGATATAGACATGTTACACATCCTTCTCACTACTTTGGTTTTAATTTTTGAATGGTTTGATGGTTTTTGAACCATAGAAAGCTGAATGAATGATGTCCAGCAAACAAATCTGTAAAGTTGTGTTTAAGCAGACAGTTATCCACTATACTAATGATCATGTATACAGACATTTCATTGTAACACTATGTATCTGTGTCAAATCTTGCTGTTAAAACATTACTGTATAGTAACTTTGGCTGATTTTAATTGCAGATCCTCTGTACCTGATAATAGAGTTATAAATGAATATATTTGCAAATATGGACTTCATGAAGCATTGTACACAAGGAAATAACACTCTTTTTCAAAAATGCATTTATTACTGTTTAAATACATTTTCAATATAAGGCATGCATTACATTCACAAGCCAACTTTTTTGGGTTTTGACATCTTGAAAATTAGATGCACGTTAGGATTGAGAAAACATGGTAAATTCTTTGATTACAATTAAAACACAATTATAGAATTCTAAGATAAAAGAATAGGATAAAGTAGCTATTTTCTTTATTAGTTTTTCTTTTTAAAAAGCCTTGATATACAAAAGTGTCACTTATAATAAACAGAAACACTTAACTTTGCAGTAATTAAAAAAGAGTAGAGTTTCAGTAACTTAACATTGTTAGGTTGCATTATTTTAATCCTTTAGACAAGCCATACGATAACAGCCATCAGTGGCAGAGAATAATTTAAGGAATCCATTATTCAAAAGCTGATTACTGTGTGAGAAAGTACCACGTGCAACAATTATGTTGATACCTCCGAAGCATCCTGACTGCATACTAATGTCTCCACTACAGATATTTTTGGACAAACGTGTTAAGACTGCCCTCTGATGAATCTGATTTTCTAATTTCATTTACTTCTTTACTGAAAGTTGTTTGTAACCTTTTGATAATGTCCTGTCTGGAATACAAATAAGGTGAATCTGCTCAATTTTATATTCAATCAGTCTTGCTATTGCACAATAAAAAGTCAAATCCATAGACTGACCACTAATGGTTGATCAATTAGTCAAATTAAATGTATTTCATGTGTGGGAGGGAGATTAAAGTACTTATCTGAAGTGTAAAAAAACTTTTATAAATTAAATCATTAGAATACCAAGAAGTAACTAGATAACTTAAGAACAATACTAAAAATTGAAATGTTCTTATGACTTTAAAATTAAATATACTTTCTGTTCTGTAAGAAGTTATATATGAAGAGAACTTAAAAACACTTAGGTTACAAGAACTAAAATTAACTGAGAACATAAGCCTGAAGAAGAAAAATGTATACATTAGCATTAAAATTAATTTATTACAATTTATGTAATCTATAAAATGTAATCACATGTTCCTCAGTTCAATAATAAAAGCTGTATTTGCCAATAAAGAAGTGAGAATCAAAATTAATCAATCAGAATTCATTTTACTTTAAGTGTGCAAGTTCTGATTGGCTAACTTCAACTTCGACTGTAAGCTCTTTGTTGGCAAATGCAGCTATAAATGTTGAAACCAGACAATACTAGGATGATCTTTTTCTATTCTCAGAATGACAGAAGATCTCTCATTAATGGTTAATGGCGGAATCTTGTTGTTATTACAATGGCTAGAAATCTCATATTGTTAGTAAGATGATGGGACCATCACCTACTATTATTAAGGTAAATGTATTCAGTGGTGGTGCACTCAGGATTTACTCTTAGGGAGCAGAGTTGAACAGATAAATTTTTAATGTGAATTCAATAAAATTTCCACTTTGTGTGACCATTAGTATTATAGAAAGACAACACCACACAATATGAATAAAAACATGAATTTTAATTAGGAAAGGATTTTTGGAAATTTTCTACTTTGTTTTCATGTTTCTTTGAAAGGTGCCAGGGCTTCTTGCCCCCTGGATGTGCCACTGACTATCATCTTTTACTATTGGTATGAAATCAAAGTGCAAATGATATACAGTAGAGCGTCGATTTTCCGAAAGTCAGTCATCCGAAACGTCAATCATCCGAAAGAATTCCAGTCGGCAAATTTAAATTTTCGCCAGTGCTGTGGTTCTTCAATCTTTGGCTATGTCTTGGGCTACTCAAATATTTTACATTTTTGATACTAAATTAACTTCTGAAGTATAATTTTTTATTGTTTTTATATTTTTTACTATATTTATTTTGTTTGTACAAAATAAAAAAATAATTTTTAACGATACAATAGTCTTCGTTAGGCTTAACATCGACGAAAATTCAACACGAAGCGACATGCAACGGAGAAAAATTTCAACATTGGATACGTTAACTATTTTTTTGTACATAAATCGGTTATCCGAAATATCAGTTATATGAACAACCCCAGCCCCCAATTGATTCGGAAAATCGACGCTCTACTGTACTTGTAAATCTAATGCTAACATTTCCATTACAATGTGTATTTTAATGGGAATGTTATCATCAATAACACAAGTTAGAGATGCTATAATCAGAATCATCATATTAATGCTGGATAAAAGAGAAAATTGAATTCCAAATGATGCAGAAAACTGTGATTGCATATGCCAAACAGCTACTGGATTAAATCAGGCTACTTCTCTGCATTTATTTTTAATTAGTTTCTAAATAATTTGTCACTAGAAGCAGGCATTAGGCACTCTCTCTTATTAAATTTAAAATGTGGAGAAGTAGCTCGATTTAATCTGGCAGTCGTTTGGCATATTACTAATATATCGGGTTTTGAGATGTTTGTATCTAAGATTGCATATTCAGCATTTCTCTTTTAAGAGAAATGTGTCAAATGCTTAATGATGAATTATACACCCTGTCTACCAAGTAAGTTTATTCAAATTTTGCAAATTACACATGCCAACAAAATAAACTACAAGTAGTGTTACCACCTGTCCGGTTTTCACCCGGAATTGACTCACTGTCCAAGTGAACTATTAATTTTGTCCAGGAATTTCATAGAAATTGTGAAATTATGATGAAACAAAGTTCTTGCAAATATTTTTACAAATTTACACTATTTTAACAGCGAAAGAACTCTCACTCACTGAAACTCATCTGCAATTCTGCCCTGTTAGTCTGTTTAAGCCGACATGTGGCGCGCAACCTGTCGAACTTTTCTTTTTATTTATTGCATGTACTGTAGAATCGTACAGTCTCCAATATCCAATACAGCTAAGTCATCTGTACCTGTTCTTTCTTAATTTATGTTACTTACGTTACTCCTACACAACTCCCTAGTCCCTAACTC